GACCCCCTGCCATCCCTCAAATATGCCTCAGAACTTCTGAACTGGCCATCCCCCCTCCTTCTGCTCCCAGGCAGGCTCAAATGTCGCCCCGTCAGTGAGGCGAACACCCCAAAAATGTGCAGTTTTGGAGTGCACATTTCCTACTCCCCAGAGTCCACTCTCCTTTTTAATCTTCATTTTTTTTCTGAACACCTGAATTACTCATCTTTTTGTTACTACAACAAAAATACCTGAGAAAAGCAAACTTAGAAGGGAAAAGATTTATTTTAGCTCACAGTTTTGGAGATAGGTAGATAGACAGATAGTTCACAGTCCAAGATCGGCCAGCCCCACCAGTCTTGTGTGTGCCGAGGGTGGTAGATGGCAGAATGTGTGCAGAGGAAACAGCATGTGGTGAACCCGGAATCAGACTCACAGAAGCACCCTCATTCTCCATATCCATGTGTTTCTATAAATTTGCCATGATTGGGTAAATCATGGGACTCCATGGAGAGCCCAAAACACCTTGGTTGCAAGGACATGAGGTTGTCCTGTGGAAACAAGAAGATTAATTGGTGCGTCTCTGGAATCTTCCATGTCCAGTGAGAGCCAGAGGTATACAGTTACAGCATCGCTCCAGGCTTCACTCCAGCAGACTCACAGTGAGGGAAATTGTGCATGACTGGTGGGGCAGAAAGATGAACAACATTAACTATGGCCTCAGGATCAATTGATGTAGCAAAAAACATTGCTTTTTTCTTCCTATATTAAGTCATTTATACAGATTCTGGCAGGATACCAAAAGGGAAAAATTACATGTTACCTGGATTCCTTTTCTCTTCTAAAAAAGCCAAGGAAGAGTCCCTAACACAGTCATGCATAATTGCCTTTTCTAATCAGTCAGCGGTGTTACTGTTTGTTCAACTCACAACTTCTCACTACATGGAGAGATCCTGAGAGTGAGGGCCAGGAGCTCCCACCGTAGGACCATTTAGCAACCAGGAGAAGGAGGGGACACAGCCTAGATTTTTTTAAAGCCTTCACATGCATATACTCCAAAAAGGTTGTAAAATACTAACTAGATTTCAGAGTTCAAGTGTGAAATTACTGACTTCGTTTCTGTGGGGAGCAACCCGGACTAGACTAAGTTACTGGAATTAAGACTTATTCTATGCATCTGCTCTCCCACAATATGGCGCTGAGAAGGGAGAAGCAGCTTCTACACAGCTGCCTCCAGTTCAGCCAATAAACTGTAGGACCTGCTCCTGATTGGAGGAGAGCAGCGTACTCGGCATGTGGGCAGCCGAGTTGGGATTGGTGGAAGGACTATAAAAGAGGAGAGAGACGGCATGCACCAGGAACATCTAAGGGGAACATCTATCTGAAGGAACACCTGTGCAGCCCCCGAGAGAGCCGGCCGGCGGTGTGCCGCTCCCCCGCGGAAGTGGGGAATGTGGCAGGGGGAACCGCCCTTCCACGGAGGTGGAAGGGTCGGTAGCCAACCCGGGAAGAACCAGCAGCAAACCCGGGGAGGGCCGAGCAGACAAAAGAACAGCGCAGGGTCCTGTGTCATTCCTCCACGAAGACAGGGAGCGACAGTTTCCTGTAGAAAAAATTAAAATATTACTTTACAGATTTCTTACTTTATAAGTATTTCTGTAATATATGGAGAATGGCTGAAAGAGATAATCAAGCAAATTAAATATATATTAATAAGTAAGCCAATAAATGAATCATTTGTTTAAATATGATAATTTGTGGGGCTAGTTTTGCTTCACAATACTAGGTTAAGAAAATAGTTTAACTGCTAAAATAAATTTTATTTATTTATTTAAAAGGCAGAGTTACAGAGGGGGAGAGAGAGATTTTCTGTCTCCTGGTTCACTCTCCAAATGGCAACAATGGTTGGGGTGGGGCCAGGCCTAAGTCAGGCGCCTAGAACTCCATTCAGGGCTCCCACGTGGGTGGCAAGAGACCAATCACTTGGGCTGTGTTCTACTGCGTGTCCAAGTGCATTAACAGGGAGCTTGATTAGAAGTGGAGCATCCAGGACTCAAATTGGCACCCATATGGGATGCCCAGTGTCACAGGGCATCCTAGCCAGCTGACACACGAGGTCCCCACCTGCTGTAAAGCAATCACAGATTTAGGATAATAACATTTTATGGACTATTTATTAGGACATTTTTAGAAAAACTGAGCAAATAGGACAGAGTTTTCATATACATCTTCTTTCCTCTCTCAAAGTTCTTTCATTATTAGCATCTGGAAATAGTGTAATATATTTGTTTCAAATGATAAACCAATATAAATATGAACCAGTTATGATTTATTACTATTAACTAAAGTCCAGGTTTACATTGGAATTCATGTGCTTTGTCGTCCAGTGTAAGATGTATAGGGCCAAGAGCACAGTCTACCTAGGCTAACGCTGCATTGCTAGATCTGTCAGTTACTAAGAGGGACATTGGGAAGCCCAGCCATAATCTACCGCATTCCGCACTCATTAGCAGGAAGCTGGATCAGAAGAGTGGAGTACCCAGAACTCTAACCAGGCACCCTGATATGAGATGCAGGCGTCCCCAGCAGTGACTTAACCCACAACACCACAATGCCCACCCCACAGAAACTCGTTCTTAAACAGACTCTAGGTCTTGCCAATCGGTTGTAATGAACTGCCACGATGCTGGAGCACTGATAATGTTTCCTAAGCTATTGAGGAGGGGATGCATTCCATAATCATGATAGAACCTTTAATTTTTGGAGAGAAGAATCCCTGGGCTACGGTCCCAAGAATCTCTTCACCTTCTTCCCCCACACCACCTCACTAACGTGAGAAAGTCTAGAAGGGTCTCCAATGGTCTAAGTGCACTTTCTGTAGTTCAGATAAAGGAATGATAAAGTCTGCCTTGAAGGCACATTCTTGCTTCAGAGAACAAAATGCTGCAAGTGTATTTCCAGTGGTACTTTCCCCCTACCTCATGCTAGGAGCAAGAGGAACTGTTTTCCCTATCTTCACCTTGAAAACATGATGGAATGTCTGATAGCAAAACTCACTAAAATGTGAAAGCCCAGGGCAGGTGGTGTAGTGAGGTACATGACGCTAAAACTTGTGACAACAGCATCCGGTACCAGATTGCCCATTCATGTTCCTGCTGCTCTACTTCTGATGCAGCTCCCTGCCAATGTGCCCGGGAAAACAGCAGGAGACCGCCCAATTGCTTAGGCCCATGTCACCTATGTGGGAGACCCAGAAGGGGTTCCTGCCTCCCAGCTCCAACCTGCCCAGCATCAGCTGTTGTGGTCATTTGAACCAGAGGATGGAAGTCTCAGTCTCTCTCTCTCTCTCCATCCCCCCCCCCTCGGTTTTTTTTGCCTTTCAAATAATGAAATATTTTTTAAAAAATGTGGATGTTCCTGTAAGACTGAACTTCAGTTTCCCTGCACTTTCAAGGCTCAACTTGGCCTACATTTAGCCTCTAGCAATTTGCCAATTACTAAGAGTCCTCAATCCAGTACTGGCTCCAGCAGGCTTGAGAACCATCGCTCTCTGTCTTCCCCTATCCAGTTCTCTGGGAGGTGGATCAGCCTGGGACCCCAGTGCTCTGACACGTCTAAGGAGAGCTGCTGATTTGGGGCTCATTCAGTTTTTCTCCTGCTGTGTTGATGGAGTGAAGACTTCCAAGGTCTTCAACTGCCAGCACAGAAACCAGAAGTCCTGGTAGCAAAGTTTTCTGTGCACGTGAAGGGTTAAAAAGTTAAAAGCCGCTCCCCCTCCCCTCCTCTGGTGAACTTTCCTGACCTCATTAGACTTGCTCTGCGTAGCCATTCTCTTTAAAGTCAGTTAGTCAGTAAATTACCCCAATGTAAGCGTAACCTTAGTTTCACCTAAGTAAGATAGAAGAAGTCACCTCAGCTTCGTTCCATCCCTGAAAAACCACAGACAACACCCAGCTCCGCGGCAGGCTCTCAGTTCCCTGAACAGTCGCCACTTAAAACACAACAGCCTTTCTCATTCGCCGGTTGATTGACAACCAGCTGGAGGAGGACGACCGGGAACACCTGCGGATTCCCTCCCGCCCGGGCCGGCCGCGGCAGGAAGGCGGGCGCCCGCGGGCTGCGCGCTGCTGCCCTCCGGGTCACGTGCGCCAGAGCCCTCCCTCCACTCCGCCCTGGACAAAGGCGGCTGTCCCGGCAGGAAGCGAGAGCCGGCGGGCGGACGGAGAGACCCAGGCGTGGGGTCCCGGGCGCTGGAGCGCTCCCCCACCTGCTGCAGGTGCGCAGGCCGCGGCGCGCGAGCGGAGGGCAGGAGCCGGCCCGGCGGGCGCGCACGGGCGCCCAGGAGGAGGCTCCCCGCGGGTCCCCAGCGCCGTGAGTACCGCGACCGGCCGGAGAGCCGAGGAGCTCGGCGGCGGGGAGCGACCCAGGACTCGCCCCTTGCGTGCTCGCGGGGAAAAAGTCTGGGCTCAGGTTACCGACGTCCGCACGCTGTGCACGGTAGCCAGGGGGCCGGCGGAGTTAGCGGGGAGGTTTGAGGAAATCGATGTGAAACTGAAAAGGAAATCTTAGTTGAGGGAGCGCAAGCAGTGTGTGGATCAGCGTCGGTCTGCGCAGAAGTTGAAATGACTAGGCGAGTAGTTACTGGTAGACGGACAACAGTAGTAAGGTAAAAATGAATGCGTGGGATTAATGAATGCGTGGACACTTGAACGTAAACTTTAACATAACGCTGTGTTTCGCTGAAAAGCAGTCTGAGACTCATCGACAGGTCTGTGCTGAAGGGTTGAGAGCGATGTGCTGGAAGTGATACTGCTCTCGTTTTTCACAAAAATCGCGTTGGTTTGAAGATACTTGGTTTTCACGACTCCACACAGCGGTCAGATCCCAAGCCCTCTGCAGTGTCCCGGAGCCGTGTGCATTCAACTTCATCTACCTAAACAAATGCTGAGAGGTGTTCCCGCAGCAGCCAAAGTGCAGTTCCTCTGGTCTGATCAGCACTTCCGTTTGTCCTTTGAATCCAGGCTGGAATCTCAGAGGCCAGTGTCCTGTAGCAGAGCCTTCCCTGTGAAATGTTCCGCCGCCTTCGAAGGCTAGGTATTCTCTGTACCCTCAGAGGCTTTGCTCCGCTTTGCCTCTTTTCATTCACATAGAGAGAAATTGATTTCTTAGCTAACACTGGCTCATGCCTCTGCAGTCCTGTGATTGCTCCCCCAGATACCTCCTGCACCTCTGTCCTATGGCAGCTCTGGAATCTGACCTTCGCTATAATCCACCTGCTTGATCCTTGAGCAGTAGCCTGTGCAAGCCACTGCGAGGCCGAAACTGTGTTGGAGCATACCAGTAAAATGCTACTGTTTTATTGTGTCTGCCCATACCTGTCTGTCTCTTTCTCCACAGCATCCCCATGCAGCGATGTGGTTTTTTAACAGAGTGCATACAATTTCAAATAAGTATTTTCCCTAGTAAAACTTACTGTAAAATTTTGAGCTGACCCCTGTTTTCAGTGAGAGTGTCCATGGTTATGACAAATAACATTTTGTAAGTAATTGTATTTTTTGTTTTATCTGCAAGAAGAGATGAGGAGCAATACATGGGCTTCTAAATATTTATCATTATAAAATAAAATGAGGAAGTGGTGACATCAGGTGTATTTTATTCATTATGTATCCACAAGAAATTATCACTGTAACATTAAATTTAGAGGGGGAAAAAAAGGTTTATTTGTTTCCTGTTGCAGAGAGTTTATTCTGAAGAGTCAATGAACAAAACAATCCAAGATGGTACAGTGAGAAAGACTATTTTATTTACCTTCTTTGATACAATTCCGGGTGTGTTGTCTCTCTTCTCATGTAGCTTGTACAGCTAAAAAGGTGAACTGTGTCTACTGTCCTGTATCTGGTTCTTGGTTGTTTGTGGTTTTGGGTTTTTCTTCATGAGGAACCAGAACTTTTTATTTAGCGTAGCAGTGTTGCCCAATAGTGCTTTTTGCAATGCTGGAAGTGTTGTCACCTGCACTGTGCTGTATGGGAGCCACTGGCCACAGTGCTGAGTGAGCACCTGAAATGTGATTAACGTGGCTGAGGAGCTAAGGTGTTTTTTTCCTTTTCCTTATTTTTTTTTTTTTTTATTTTTGACAGGCAGAGTGGAGAGAGAGAGACAGAGAGAAAGGTCTTCCTTTTGCCATTAGTTCACCCTCCAATGGCCGCCGTGGCCGGCGCATCGCGCTGATCTGAAGGCAGGAGCCAGGTGCTTCTCCTGGTGTCCCATGGGGTGCAGGGCCCAAGCACTTGGGCCATCCTCCACTGCACTCCCGGGCCACAGCAGAGAGCTGGCCTGGAAGAGGGGCAACCGGGACAGAATCCGGCGCCCTGACCGGGACTAGAACCCGGTGTGCCGGCGCTGCAAGGCAGAGGATTAGCCTATTGAGCCGTGGCGCTGGCCCCTTATTTAATTTTAATGCAGGTGTGGTTATGCATATGTGACAGGTTGCTACCAGGATCACACAGCACAGGTGGCCGAGCAGCCGCCCCATGCTTCTCTGCTGATTATTGAATTGCGCCTTCTGCACCTGCACATCTTCTACAGGATTCTCCAAGTGTATCTTCCAGCAGTGCAGTTGCTGCAAGTCATAACAATACACAGGTTTGTAACTTGTACCTCCTATAGGTGTACTGCTGAGGAGGAAAAGTGCCTTTCTCTGTGGGGATCCTGAGTGTGCAGCTGCAGTGTGACACACATAGGCCCTTAATGCTAGCAAAGTGGCACAGTCTTATCTATGGCAAGATCTACACCCTGGACACTATCCTAGGCTCTGGGGGGCTCTAGTCCCCTCCCACCTGCTGGAAGCCAGGTGACCCCATGGCCCAACCACAGGTGTCAGCTCCACCCCCATCCTAATGGGATTCCCTGCCCCTCCCCAACTGCAACAGTTTAGCAAGACCTGTTCTTGAACACCTGGCGCGGCTCTCTCTCTCCCTCCCTCCCTCCCTCCCTCTGGCCCTCCCCCACCCGACAATAAACCCTTTCCTCTAACTCCAGTGTTTGGTATGTTTTGTGGTGACCTTACACTTAAGCTCAAGTCTGAACTATAACAAAAGCTTTTGCTAATAAGACACTTAATAGTTCTCAAAGCATTCAAGATGCCTTCTCATTTGAATGTCGCAACAACCAATTGAAGTAAACAGAGTCATTATACCAGTCTACCTACATAGGAGAATTTTTTCATAATGTAATAAAAATTGGATCCAAATTTGGAAGAAGTTTTGATTTCAAGATCTGGAAACATTTTTTAAATTTTGTATTAGTAATAAAAATGAAATGGTCTGTTGGTATTATAAATGAAAGCAATGAACATATAGTATAAACATACTGTATAATTGTATAATGTCTTAGCTATCTGTGAAAAGGACTCATAGCATACTTTTGAAAAACTGAATAGATATCATGTCTTAATCATAACTTGTTCACAGATTCAGGACTTCTGATGGCTTCAGTTTTATTTCTTTTATTTCAGAAACTCTTGGAAAACGCACCAAGTCTCACACTCAGGCGCTCCTGGAACCATGAGCAGCAATGGAACGGACCCAGCCATCGGATACATCTGCTCCTCCATAGCTATCCTTTTGTTTGGCTCAAACTTTGTGCCACTGAAAAAATGTGACACTGGGGATGGTAATTCACATTTCCATTGTCGTCAGCCTTTCATTGTTTTTAAATGTGAAGTTCTTCTTCCTCGGTATTTTAAAAATGATATCTACACAAATGAATTTTGTTGGCATGGGCATTTGGCCGAGTGATTAAGATGCACGCTGTTCTGTCAGAATGCCTGGGTTTAAGTTCCAGCTCTGTCGCTCCCCCTCTTCATGGAGGAACGACACTAGACCCTGCCTAGGCTTCCTATCCGAGTCACGGCACCATTATGTCGCTCCCCGTCTTCGTGGAGGAACGACACAGGACCCTGCGCTGTTCTTTTGTCTGCTCGGCCCTCCCCGGGTTTGCTGCTGGTTCTTCCCGGGTTGGCTACCGACCCTTCCACCTCCGTGGAAGGGCGGTTCCCCCTGCCACCTTCCCCACTTCCGTTGGGGAGCGGCACACCGCCGGACGGCTCTCTCGGGGGCTGCACAGGTGTTCCCCTTAGATGTTCCCCTTAGATGTTCCCCTTAGATGTTCCCCTTAGATGTTCCCCTTAGATGTTCCTGGTGAATGCCGTCTCTCTCCTCCTCTATAGTCCTCCTCCACCAATCCCAACTCGGCTGCCCACACGCCGAGTACGCTGCTCTCCTCCAATCAGGAGCAAGTCCTACAGTTTATTGGCTGAACTGGAGGCAGCTGTGTAGAAGCTGTTTCCTCCTCTCCCAGCGCCATATTGTGGGAGAGCAGATGCATAGAATAAGTCTTAATTCCAGTAACTCAGTCCAGTCCGAGTTGCTCCCCACACAGCTCCGCTCCCAGTTCCAGCTTCCTGCAGTGTGCACCCTGGGAGGCATTGGTGATGGCTCAAGTAGTCGGTAGTTGGGCTCGTGTCACTCATGTGGGAGACAGATCTGGATTGGCTCCTCACCTTGGCCCAGTCCTAACTGTTAGGGATATGTGAGGAGTGAACCAGACAATGGTCTCACTGTGTGTGTGTGTGTGTGTGTGTGTGTGTGTATCTCCTTCCATCTCTCAACTACATAACAAAAAATGGACGAATTCTGTTGCGCCTATTGCCTAATGAATAGAGCTTAAGATAAGTCATTTGCCAATGCTCCTGCCAGTTTGAGTGGGTCAGTAAAGGCTTACCACTAACTTGTGTTTCATGGTAAAGCTAGGGTGAGTACTGTCAAGGAAGCTTTGTAGCTATATCTTTTATGTTCATAAGAGGAGGAAATTATAGACAGTTCTAATAATAATACCAGTTTGGAAAACACAGATTTCAAAGACAGTTGATAAATTAGAGGACAATCTGGCCATAGCGTGAATTTTGTGCTTGTTTGTGTGCAACTTTGTCTCTAAAAAACAACTGGAAGAACACAGAAAATTCTGCCCACATGAATGAAGATGGTGATTATACACAAAATGCAGATGTGTACACACACACACACACACCTACCTGCATCTGGTGCCATAGCTCTCCATCCACTAACTTTACAATAATTCACCAGCTGCAAATCTGCTGATTCCTGTTTCCACAAGCGCACTTCCAGTCTTTTTCAGTTTAAAGTGTATATTCATTGTAGAATTCATGCGTTTTACCCATTAACCCATTGACCAGTTACAACTAAACTGTGCTTTTTATAAGATTACCATTTTTCTTGATACATTGCTGATAAAGTTTTTGAGTATTGTTCCCCAACATACTGCCTGTACACTCTGTGGTTTTTATTGCTTGAGGTTGTATAATGCAATGATTTTCAGGAATGCACATAACGTTAATGCAACATCGTGGTGTGAATTTTACAGAAAGAGAAGCAATAACATGTTTACCTACCTGCCTTCCATACTGAAGCCAGGAGAAGGAACTGGAGATATTACAGTGAAATACCACATAACATGTGCTCTTGCCCCCAATGTTTTGTCTCCATGCTACTTAAAGTAAGATGACAAATCTGTTTCCTCCTGAGACAAGACTTTCTATTTTTCTTTGAAATTGGGACAGGAATGAAAACTGCTAACAAAAAACAAGCTATGGAATCCTGTGCAAGTCTTAACCAGCTCTTTTGTTTTCAGTTTCTCATTTCTTTTTTTTTTTTTCTTTTCTTTTCTTTTTTTTTTTTTTTTTTTTTGACAGGCAGAGTGGACAGAGAGAGACAGAGAGAAAGGTCTTCCTTTTGCCGTTAGTTCACCCTCCAATGGCCGCCATGGCTGGCGCGCTGCGGCCGGCGCACCGCACTGATCCGAAGGCAGGAACCAGGTGCTTCTCCTGGTCTCTCATGGGGTGCAGGGCCCAAGCACTTGGGCCATCCTCCACTGCACTCCCTGGCCACAGCAGAGAGCTGGCCTGGAAGAGGGGCAACCGGGACAGAATCTGGCACCCCGACCAGGACTAGAACCCGGTGTGCTGGCGCCGCTAGGTGGAGAATTAGCCTATTGAGCCGCGGCGCCGGCCTATCATTTCTAAATTGAAGAATTTATAAGATGAACTTCCTGTTCATCTCTGAGATACTGCCCTTTTGTCTTAGAGGTTAGCAGTCAATTTTCGGTCTCACCTCTGTATGGCGATAAATAGAACTAGACAAAAATCTGGCAAAGTTACAGTCAAAAGTAATATGCTCAGTTGTACTTGCCTCAGTGTTTCTTTGACTCTCTAAGATTTCTTTATTATTCCCCAAATCCTCGATGACACGAAGCTGGAGAGATGTACAGATATAACTCTTAGCACCAGCTGATGTTCATGTAACTGGCAAATGGCAACTCGGGGCATAGAAAGCAGAGTAACCCTGATCCAGAGTAACTAGTTCTCATGCCTGTGTTGTCTGGTCATCTTGGGCGTTAACCTTTGTGGGAGCCTGGATGTTTTAATCACTGTTTTAACTGTGCTGTTCTGTTATCAATGCCATTTTTATGATGGACGGCACTGTGATTTATTGTGTTTTTATTTTTATTTTCATTTTATTTGAAAGGCAGAGATGGAGACAGGGATTGGTATCTGCTGGTTCTGTCTCCAGTGCCGTCAGAGTTGGGCCAGGCTGAAGTCAAGAGCCCGGAACCCATCCCAGTCTCCTACATGGGTGACAGCTACGTGAGTACTTGAGCCATCACCTGCTGCTTCTCAGTGTGTTAGCAGGAAGCTGGAATCTGAAACAGATAGCTGGGGCTCACACTGGGCACTCTGATACAGGATGCAGGCACCCCTAGTGGTGACTTAAAAACACCAAACACCTACCCCTGGGTGTGATTTTGAAGTAGAAATACAAGCTTGTTCTTGCCAGTGTTCTCAGTAGAAAATTCTTGATTTGTCTAATAAGTAAGGGGAAAATAATGTTAAACATGGGGCCGGTGCTGTGGTGCAGTGGGTTAAAACCGCAGCCTGCAGCACTGGCATCCTATATGGGCACTAGTTCAAGTTCTGGCTGCTCCATTTCCAATCCAGCTCTCTGCTGTGGCCTGGGGAAGAGGTAGAAGATGGCCCAAGTGCTTGGGCCTCAGCACCCATGTGGGATAACCGAAAAAGCTCCTTGCTTTTGATCGGTGCAGCTGCATTCGTTGCGGCAACTGGGGAGTGAACCAGCGGAAGGAAGACTTTTCTCTCTTTCGCTCCCTCTCACTGTCTTTAACTCTACGTCTTAAATGAATACAATCTTTTCTAAAAAAAGAGAATGTTACGCAGAAACACAGTGTGTATAGATAGACTTCAGAATCAAACAACCTGGGCGTAAATTCCAGTCCTACAAATTTCTAGCTGTTTGGTCAAATTGCCTAATCTCAGATTGATTTTCTTTGTCTCTGAGTTAGGATTAATTATTATGCAGAGGAGTTGTAAGAATGAAATGTGCAAGTGCCTGGCATACAGACATTCAATAAGTTGTGGTCATGCCTTTAATATCTCATTGATAGTCCAAAGTCCAGATTTACTCAAATCAACTTGATCCAAGGGTGCCACCTTCTTTTGTTTCCAGGTATGTTTCTCCAGTGGATCCTTTGTGCTGCCATCTGGTTGGTTGCCTTGGTGGTCAACCTGATACTGCATTGCCCCAAGTTCTGGCCTCTTGCAATGCTCGGGGGCTGCATTTGGGCAACAGGTAATGTGTGATACGACTTACTCTATAATCAATTAATACAGTGATCAGAATAACTCACAGTCGGAAAATAGAACAAATTGTAATTCTGAATAATCTTAGTCATGGATACTAGAAATTAGGTACTTAATTTCTTTCTTTCAGATGCTTACTAAATATTTTTTGGTTCATTTCCTGGTTTGTTTCTCTTATAATTTCTTTCCAAGTTCCTTGTAGAAAATTGTTATCATAAAAATGTTTCAATCTTTTTAAGTGTAACTAGTATTTATGTGCACTGGCCTTTCTCACACATGCTTGTTGGACAAAATTTATTAAATAAAAGTCTCAGTACCATTTTTAGGACTTATCCCTAGTAGTGGGGAAACATAGACACATTGTTATTTCAAAAGTATTGATTCAGAGAAAAGCAAAACAAGTAAAAATTTTTGCCTTATCAGTATCTAAAATATATACCGGAATCTGTGCCCTCTCTCAGCCAGGCAGCACTGTTGGCTTTCAGTTGATACAAACACATGCCATCAATTTTTTCTCTTTGACAAAGAGAATTCCAAGTATCAAAGTGTCTTTGACAAAGAGAATTCCACGCATCCATCCATCCCAGGTGCCCCGAGTGGGGAGTCTACTATGAACGAATCGCAAGTGTGGATGCTGTAGGTAGGCTGCTGGCAGGATTGGAGCGTGGAGGAGAACAAGGAGCCAGTGCTGAGTTAGGGATTTTCTTGTAGGTGATTAGGAGGGTGGAGATATTGATGGTTGTGAAGACACAGGGAAAGAATACAGTAGCCAGGGGAAGTGCTTAATTCAGTTTGAGAACTTATGAATCTAAAGGTCTTGAAGCGGCCACAATAGAAGACATGTGGTTGCAAACTTCTTACTGGAAATTTGGAGCATAACACAGATTCTGTGCAGACTGGCTAAGTGCAAGGATCGCACGCCTCTAGTTCACAGCTGAAATCATGATATTGGGTCATATATTCACAGAGACTATAGCAAGGGGAGGAGCGTGCTCAAGGGAAAGTCTTAAGTGGGCATTTAAATCAGAAGGAGTTATGGAAAGTGGAAAAAATCAGCCAGAGAAAGAGCTGAAAGGGGAAAACAGGCGGAAAATCAGATGAAGACAACTTAAAACCCAAAAGAAGGAACCTTTGAAAAAAAAGGCCGTTTGGTAGGCAGAGAGAGAGCGAGAGAAGGAGACAGATGAGAGTTATCCACTTCTTCACTCACTCAGTGCACTCAGTAGCCCAGACAGGGCCAGGTCGCAGTGAGGAGCTAGGAATCCCATCCAGGTTTTCCATGTGGGTGGTGGGGAACCAGTCACTTGAACCATCACCTGCTGTTTCCAGGGTGTGCGTTACAGGAAGCTTGCTGGAGTTAGGAGCTAGAGCCAGGTAACAAACCCAGACACTCCAGTGTAGCATGTGGGCATCATAACCACTGGGCAGACCACCTGCTCCCAGAGAAAATTCTTTCAGAGGAGTTTGTGGGTGGGAGGCCAGACTGCTCAGCAGACAAGAACTGTTAAAAAGAAGGTGATGAACTTGGGTTTCGTCCGGCATTGTCTGCAGTAGCTTGGAGCTATGAATGCAAGAATCTGGAAGACAAGTTCGTGAGCATAGAAGGGCAAATTCGAGGGCCAGATTGGGGTCAAAGACTAGAGTCTAAAGGGATAATCACTGCTACTCTGATCATTGACAGCTTCTGCAAGAAGTCACAGACTAGAGACCTATGTCAAAGGTGAAGAACAGCTGTAGAGTTAGGCAAGAAGTGAATTCGACATCTTTCTCTGTAGGATTATTTCCTAAGCCTAGTTCCTTTAATAATCACAAGTCTGATGCCCAAAGAATTATTATTTTAAAAATGAGGTACTATGATTTACTAAATTTGTCCAAGTCCTATGACCTACGATTGAAGTTAGAATAAACACTAGTTCAACTTATAAATGTATTTGCTGTATTGGAAATAACGTATTTCTTCTGTATATTACACCTACAGGGAACATTGCTGTTGTCCCAATTATCAAAACCATTGGTTTAGGCCTTGGAATCTTAATCTGGGGATCATTTAACGCCTTAACTGGCTGGGCAAGCTCAAGGTAACAGCGGTCAAACTGTTTAAACTCAGATTCACTACACCCTTACTCTATGTAAGGCGACAGCTAAGGGCTGGGCTTCCGGAGAGTAATAACATCTTATTCTTAATCTCCTAGGGATGACAGCTGGTAAAATACACACATCAAATATGCCACCTGTAATTATCACTCGTTCTAAATTCTTCATAAGTAGTCTAGATATTTGCCTGAAGTCTATAGCTAGGAAACAGAAGTGGGGAGAACAAGAAAGTACTGATGTTTATTTCCGCTTTCCACCGTGTGAGAGTTGATGGGCGTATCTGATGTACACTCTCACTTCATTTTCACAAATGCGTGAGGTAAACATTACCTCCTAGAAGAGCTGATACACATACACATAGGGACTGAGTCATCTGCTGAAAGCTGCAAAACTAGTGAGCCAGGATCCAAGCCTGGGCTACCAGTTCCAAGGCACACATTTGCTCTAGCTAAAGATCACAGCCATGTTTGTAAAGTTTTCCTGAAACATGCCTATGCGAGTTTCATATACTGCTATGTTCATACACTGCTTGATTCCACTCTGGTCAACCATGGACCCCATGTGTGGCAATAGTCACGTAAGATTATATCACTTAGTGATGTCTTGCTGTCTTAGATTGCATAAGTATATTCAACAGTGTTCCCACAATGACCACATTACTTAAGTATGCGTTTCTCAGGATGTACCCTGTCATTGGTGATGCGTGACTGTGTTGTTGCTGAATGCTTTAACACTGTAATGGCAGGATTGAGCAGTTGCAAGAGATTATCTGCCCCCAAAACCTAGTATATTTTCTCTCTGGCTTTTTAAGAAAACTTTGCCAACCCCAGCTCTCCAGCTGTGCTGAATAGTAGGGTAGGTAGAAGCCTCATATGACCAACATATTTAAACCTAAATTAGTGAAAATTTGGTGACATAAAATTCTGTTTCCCGTAGTGTTAGCCATGTCTCAAGTGCTCGTAGCCACATGTGGCAGGCTACACTGTTCTGTGCAGCTACAGACTAGTTCTGTTATCACAGAACGTTCTGTTGGATTCCGTCAGCATTCAGGTTGACGCTGAAGTCGAGTTTGGGTAAAGTAGAATGGAGTGTGTCATTCTCACCTTACTTCACAGCTCTCCTTCCACTCAGAATATTATCACCACTTCTGTGTAACAAAACAGGTGGACTCATTACCCTCTAATACAGTCTTTCCTGCCCTTGACTCATGCCCCAACCTGCTTTGTATAAATGCTAGTTTTCTTTTTGTTCTTGCTCCCTTTTCTCTTGCCTTGGATGGTACAATGTGATTCTTGGTGGCTATCATGGCAATAACCAGCAAAGAAAAGAGTTTAAAGTGACTTCTAAGAATAGGGATTGTTGAACAAGACAGCATTTAGAACTATTTCAATACTGTATGAAATGCAGCCAGTTCATTAGCAGTCAGCTAACCATTTGAACTACCTCTTCCTCCTTCTTCATTAGTCTTAATAAGAAAGGGAGATTCACAAGTACATTTGCATGTATTAACATACTTAATCTTCATAACAAACCTATAAGGTAGGTCCAAGCATTAACTCCATTTTAACCATGGGAAATCGAGGCACAGAGAAGGTAAAAACCAAGCTCACAGTCAGAGAACTAGAATTTGAAACCCGGAATTTGGCCCACACTTCGTGCATGGCAACAGTATCCAATTTGATGTGACTTTGGTGTTTCAGGTTTGGCTGGTTTGGAATGGATGCAGAAGAAGTACCCAAACCACTGCTGAATTACACTGGAGCTGGGCTATCAGTAGTAAGGTATGCAGCGCTTTCTGGTGGCTTAGCTCTTCCTCCACACATTTAGAGCACTCGTTAAAGATCGGGTGGGTCTCCTCTGCCTGATTTATCCTCAGATTCTTCATTCACAGATGATCCCATATCTGCAGTCAGCAGCCCCAGCTTTGGATCTCAGAAGCTCTGAGAAATTGGGAAAATCTTTTAACTGCTTTGAAGCTCGGTTTGAAATCAGATTAGACCCCCTAAAATTTACACTGAAATGTGGCCCCTTGAAGTTCCCTAGAAATGCTATCTGGGGTGCCACATGTGCTACCGGAATTTGGGGTGCCATATGATTTCACCATGGGCTTACTACTAAATCCCCAATATTAATAACTCCGAGAAGGGGTCTTGCCTAATATTTAGATAAGAATTCTAAATACCGGCACAGATAAACGCGGCAGCATGGTACGTTTTAAGCTTTTATTTGTGAGAAAGATGCATAGGAGACTGAGAACTTTATATAAGACAGAGGTAAACAGGGGTCCATACTGAGCACCAGGAACCAGCCATGTGGAGGAGCATCTAGGCCAGGAAGCCTAGGGTGGGTGGCCTGAAGGCCATGCGCCCTGGAGGCTCAGGGCTACAGCAAGCCCGCCTCCTGGCAAGAGGCCAGGGAAAAGAGAAGGGCCGGACACACTGTGTCCCAGGCTTTTAACCCACTTCCAAAGGGGAGTGGTTAATTAATCTGATTGGCCAGTAGGCACCCAGGTGTGGCCAGGTAGGGGGGATGAGGTCACAAAGGGGCATGGCAGAAGGTCTCAGGTAGGGTGTGAGGTCACACAGGGGCATGACGAAGGCATGGTCTTCCAGCTCACAAACCTAATCTATTTTAACCTGTATGCCTGCCTACTTCAGGTTTTGTTATCTATACTATGTAGGAAAGCATAACCCATAGTTCATAAATTAGAACCAGAGGGTGCATTTTTGACAACTAAAACGTGCTCCACAAGTATTGTACTGGTTGCCTGATGGCGCTGCATAGTTATTGTTTATCTTTTCTGTTTGTTACAGTGCCCCGCCCCCTTATCCATGAGGGATACCTTCCAAAGCCCTAGGGGATCCCAGAATCTGCACAGTGCTACACCCTGTCACTTAATGTCATTTCCATATTAGCTAAGCACTTGTCACACAATTCAGTTTTAGCTTTTACGGTGGGAGGAAGAGCAGCAAAACTAGTTTGTTTCTGTTTCCTTCTTCACAATTTCACGAATAAAAAAACTGCAGTGTAGATCATAGTAATCTCAGCCTGCAGTTATTTTTCTCTTTAAGTCAAGAAGCTTTGTGTTTCCAATTAAAAGAAATACTTTGCAGTTTCTCTTTGGCATGTCTAAACTGACAGCTTCACTACTCTTATGCTCTGTGACTGAAAAAAAAAAAAAAAAGGTTTACTTATTTAGTAAAGCTACAGAGAGAGTAGGAGAGAAAGAGAGAGGGAGAGAGAGATCTTCCTACTGCTGGTTCACTCCCCTAAATGGCCACAATGGCTGGGCCCAGGAGCCAGGAGCTTCTTATGGGTCTCCCACGTAGGTGGCAGGGCCCAAGCACTTAGGCCATCTTCTACTGCTTTTCCCAGGCCATCAGCGGGAAGCTGGATCAGAAGTGGAGCAGTGGGGACTTGAACTGGTACCCTGCAGGTGGCAGCCTAACCCACTTCACCACAGCACTGGCCCCCTTTGTGACTGTTTTTAAGGAAAAATAAGACTCAAACACAAGCACTGTGATACTGCAGCAGCTGCTGGGTGCCTTTGGGTGTAAGGTGTACACAAACATGTGCATACATTACACAAATGGATGATTTGTGTCCAGGCGGCACAGAATGGGATAGCATGGCATGGCATCACATTTCATCATACTCCTTGGAACATTGTGCAATTTAATACTTAAAATTTGCTTATTTCTGGAATTTTCCATTTGATTTTTTCAGACCATGGTTAATCATGGATAACAGTGGGGACACCAGTACTCACCCTGTTAACTGGTTTCCACTTTGTGTCTCCCTGCTTGTTATTGGCCCAACTAGATAAACAGTCTCTCCCCTGCGAAAACTCCTACTTTTCTGAGGTATCTGGTTTTTTTTTGGATCTGTGTGTGTCTAGTTGCATGCACTCTATAAATGGGATGAAAATGACCGAATCTCTATGTGGCAATGTCGTCAATAAAACCTAAAGGGAATTAGGTCACCTTAAATTTAGTCCCTTTTCCTCTCTGAACTCCATTTGTATTCCCTGTCAGTACCACACATAATGAATGGCACTGCCTGCAAAGATTTTCGTACCCTTATATTCAAAGAAAGAACAGTGTGTTTCCCTTCCTCCAGCAAGAATAGCTTTTCCCCGGCCTCATTCTGGAACAGGAGCAGTCTCTTGTCATTGAAATGTTGCCTTAGGGAGTGGTCCCAGGCCTGTAGCCTAAGAAACAGACTACGTAGATTATTCTGAAGTAGTAGATTCAGGACACTTTTGATTAGAGGACTGTCATACAGGATTCTAGCTTTGATTAGCTCGCTCTCTGTGAAGCACTTTCTTTGTACCCAAAAGTTGTGATATGGTATGCCTTAATTTTGGCACATTATCTGGTAATTTGAGGCCTGTTTACCTAGTCGATTAGGCATTGTTTTCCATTTTCTAAAAGAAAGAGTGTACTCTTTACATTGCAAATTAATCTTTTGTTTTCTACCTCTTCTGCCTATTTGTTTTTCATTTTTAAAAGAGTGTACTCTTTACAATACAAATTCATCTTTTGTTTTCTGCCTCTTCTGCCTATTTGACCTTGAGCAGATCCCTTCATTTCCCCAAGCCTTGGTTTCTTCCTCTCTAAAGAAAGGATAGCAGCAAGTTCATCAGCTGTTTTGAGGATTAAATGAAATAAAATATAAGTGCATAGAATAGTGCTAGGCATATCAGTAATGTTGTGAGTATAGTTTCCATTTATAATTATCTTCATGAGTAGGTGTTCCTGTTCAATTAATATTTCCCCTTTGGGCATGCGCTCTCCAGATTTGTGCTACGCTGTTCAGTCTTCTTGAGGAATCTTGGAGTCCAGTTTGAAGCTTGGTGTTATGGAAGTATAATGCTCCCTTCCTGTCACATGCCCAGGCTCCCTTCCATGTTGCTCTTATGGGGAGAGATCCTGCAATCTGTTCATGATTTTAACTCAAACCAGTTTTTTTCTAAAAGATGTTCATTGAATAAACTTGGAGCTTCATGGTCAGCATAAAGAAACTTGGATTATGGTTGTCTTGGTTTAGAATGTTGATTTTCTTTTTATAATTGAAATTGTTGCTTCTATCCTCTGTACACTTCATTAAAGAGTTGGTTAGATTGTATCTAGCCTTATATTTTCCCTGTTTGGCATATAAGACAAGTGCCAGTTGGTGTGTATAAGATAAACCACTCTAGGTATTTCACATAGGGGAAAATTGAACACAGGGAATTAGTTCCAAAAATGTAAGACCCAGGGAAGCAAAAGAAGGCAGGTGGCATCACCCCATTATGCAAGCACCCACACCGTGGCTGCTGTGTCTGGAGAAGGTGCCTCTGCCCTGAGCCATGGCAGCTTCTCCTGTCTTTTCCTCAGCTCTGAGCACTCCCCCCTGGCAGATCCCAGCTGCCAATAGAGCAATTTTTGTCCTCTAGGCTCTGGGTGGGAGTGGAGCTGACGCCAATACTCAGGACACTGTTTGAAACATTGCTTTAATTAAAATCAAAAGAATTCTCTTACGAGGCAGAATTTTTTTTTTTCAATTAAAAAATAGTAATGTGCTTCAGATTATTTTGAAAAATCTGTTTCCATTCTCTTCTCACTGAACTTGATATGCCTGGAGGGATATTTTTCTCCCATGCTTCAGCTATTCTTTCATATTGTAAAGAAACTGAATGTTTTCCCTCTAGCACTAACCTGTTCTCAGGACCACAGTCTCTGAATCTAACCGTGCACCAGGCCACACATCCTGTACAGGTGCCCCAAAGTCCTGCCCTCCAGTCTTTGGGAAGATAATGTGTGGAAGGGGACTGTGTTGCACAGCACTCCACAAACACTGGGTCATTGATTCCTTTCCTTTTTTCCTTTCATTTCCTTTCCTTTTTTAAAAAACTCAATCTTTTTAAAATGAATTTATTTATTTTTGAAGGCGAGAGAATCAGACGAGAGTTCTCTTCTGCTAGTCCACTACCCAGATGCTTCCAAGAGCAAGGGCTGGGTCAGTGCCTCAGGGGTGGAGGGTTTCAATCTGGGTCTCCCACTGGGGTAGCAGGGACTCAACTGCTTGAGCAATCTCATGCTGCCTTCCAGGTGTGCATTAGCAGGAAGCTGAACTGGGAAACAGAGCAGGATTCGAACCCAGGCACTCAAGTATGGGATATGGACATCCCAAGTGGTATCTTAGCCACTAAGCCAAAATGCCTGTCCCAGAATGACTGTTCTTATCCTACCCTTCCCTGCAAACTGATTAAAGGAATTACTCATAGTCACTCAAATAAAAAAACTTCAGTCATTTTTACATTTTCCTCTTTATACTTTACCCTATTTCTAATCCTATAAAATTCTTTCTGATTGTTTCACAAGTTTTTCCTCTCCCTTCCTACCCTGACACCTGCACACAACAGTGAAAACCTCACATCCAATCTCTCTGCTTCTGTTCTTGTCATTTTGCACAATGACTTGCTCCTATTTGTTATAAATCAGGTCATGTCAGTCTTCTTCTTTTTTTTTTTTTTTGAAGATTTCACTAATTTAAAAAGCAGAGTTACAAAGGGATGGGGAGAAACAGAGAGAGAGAGATCTTCCATCAACTGGTTCACTCCTTAAATGGCCACAGTGCCTGGGGGGCTGGGCCAGGCACTAGCTTCTGGTTCTCCCATGTGGGTGCAGGAACCCAAGGACTTGGACCATCTTCCACTGCTTTCCCAGGCACAATAGCAGGGAGCTGGATCAGAAGTGGACTGAACTGGCACCCATATAGGATACGGCTTTGCAGGTGGTGGCTTAACCTGTTATATACCACAATGCCGGCCTCTATGTCAGTCTTCTGTTTAAAACCTTTATGGCTTCTCATTGGGTTCAGAATCAGCTTGTCTCCTTGTGCGGTTGCCCTCCGCAGTGGATACGCCCAGCGCCTCTTCTTGTGTTGTGCGTCTGTTGACCCTGGGTTATTTATCCTACCACCTCCCAGACACTTTGTTCAGCTTCAGATGCCCTCCCTGGCCACTCTTAATTCCAACTTGGATTTTCCATCCCGTGTGATATTTCCTTGATTTCTTTCTTCCAGGTTAAATGAATCGCCGTTGAACTATTACAGTTATTTTGATTTACTACTTTTTTGTTGAGATTCTCAGTCTACTTTATTATCCATACATTATTTTTATTCTCAAACTATGAGTTCCTGAAGGACAAGATCCACTTTCTTCTGTGTGTGCTGTCACCCCACCATCACCAAGAGTTTCCTCCACGTGTTTGATACTGAGTAGATTCACAGTAAATACTGAATTCAGTCATCATGTGAAAACACACACACACTTTACTAATAGTATGGTGAATAAGACTGCAAACCTAGGGAAATTGGAAAGCTCAGAAATCCAGAGACGCATGCCTCGTGTAAAACACTGGTTTTTAAAACTTCCCATGTTTTTGGCAACATTCATTATGGAATCTTTGCTGGTATGCTGCACTGAGCTCTTTTAAGTCTGTAGCCCTAAAAACTTTGTGATTTAGTTGCTCTTATGTCTATACACATAAAATAAATTTCATTAGCTCCTCCCAACTTGCTGCCACCCACCTCTTCATGATGTAATTGGAGTAAGATTCTTACTCTTTTTTTTTTTAAATATTTATTTATTTGAAAGGTAGAGTTGGAGAGAGGGGGAGAGAGAGAGAGAGAGAGAGAGAGAATCTTCATTGTGTTGTTTCACTCCCCAAATGGCCTGAAGGGCTGGAGTTGGACCAGACTAAATCCAGGAACCTGGAGCTCCATCTGGGATTCCCATTTGGATAGTAGGGGCATAGATACTTAGAACATTTTCCACTGCTTTCTCAAATGTGTTAACCGTGAGCTAGATCAGACATGGAGCAGACAAGACTCAAACCAGCACTCTATGGGACGCTGGCATCATAGGCAGTGGCTTAACCACTGAGCCACAGTGCTGGCCCCTAGGGTTATTTGTGACTTCCCTGCTCCTCTGACTAGCGTTAGCCACCCAAGCTCAACACCCTTGTGTAGTCTTGATTTCTTTCCCCGGCTCAGGTCCTCCTCTCCCTCCATTTAGAACTTAAAACTCTTTACTGTCATGTTTTGAAATTTTACCATGTGCCAGAGTACCCTGTGCATTGTCACTTCGCTTTCATGACAGCTTTTTGATGAGGGAGTAGCTCCATTTTCTAGGTAAAAATGTTGATGCGTAGGAAGATAAAGTGAATGTTTGGAGAATCAGCTTTATCCATAGCCTTCAAATCCCTCTAACGTGTCAGTCCATATTGTTTGCTTCAGAAGTTTATACAAAGTAGGCCGTTCTCACAGGATTTTGAGGGAAAGTACAGTTGCATTGCCTATCATTAACCTCAAAAATAACGTGTGCAAGTGTGCACGCATGTATTTAATTCATTTATATGTATTCCCACATGTGCAAATCTGAGGTTTTATGCATTCATTTTTACCTGAGTGGTTAATAACTACTTTGAAGACCCTGAGAAGCTAGGAAATGTGGTTCCTATCTTCTAGTCAATTAGGAAATCTTTTTTGACAGACAGTTAGTGAGAGAGAGAGAGAGAAAGGTCTTCCTTTTCCGTTGGTTCACCCCCCAAATGGCCACTACGGCCAATGTGCTACACTGATCCAAAGCCAGGAGCCAGGTGCTTCTCCTGGTCTCCCATGGGGTGCAGGGCCCAAGCACTTGGGCCATCCTCCACTGCACTCCCGGGCCACAGCAGAGAGCTGGCCTGGAAGAGGAGCAACTGGGACAGAATCCAGCGCCCCAACCGGTACTAGAACCCGGAGTGCCAGCGCTGCAGGCGGAGGATTAGCCTAGTGAGCCACGGTACTGGCCAGAAAATCTTTGGAGAAAAAGAGATGACATAGAGTTGTGACAAATGGTCAGAACTGTGTGGTAATTGTTCTCAGTGCTGTGGGAATTTGGAAAAGAGGAAGACTGGGTGAGACTGGTCTGGGGGAATTCTCTGCACTTTTAGCACTGCAGCTTTTCCTTGGCTTGGACGTGAAGAGGAGCCTGTAGTGTGTGATGGGTCCTAGACTCTAGTGTGAAGGAAACAAGCAAGACCAAGTGCTTGTGAAAACTGGCAGGCCTAGGAGAGTAGAGAGCTTGGAGCAGAGAGTGGTCAGGGGTAGAAGTTTATGTGGAGAATTACGTTGGGATAGATTGGATGGAACAGAAAGCAGATAGCTATAGAAGTCAAAGTGGAAGACAATGCAGAATCCTTCACATGTTAAAGACGAAAGAAACTGAACTAAGAAGCTAACTAGGAAATTAATAGTTTTTAAACAAAAACTGGGGTACAGTATATAGTACTCTGCATGTACTCATTTACTCTTTTTTAATCTATATACACCTTAAAGCATATTTTAACTTCAAAGCTTTAAATTGGATTTAACGGTATTTTTAAAAATGTCCAGAGCATACCAAACTTGTTCAAGTTTTCAAATTTACTATTTTAACACATTTTGCATGGTTCAAAAGTCAATAATAAATGGGGCATTAGTTGCGAAGATACTGGACATGGATAGAAAGTACATTGTGAGAAAGTTGTTAAAAAGAAAAACATTATTAGGCTTAGGTGTGTGCTTTAATCTCTTAAGATATATCCTCATTGGGGTGAGCATTCTGCACAGAGGTTTAGATGCCACCTGGGATGGGACACCCACATCCATTATCAGAATATTCCAGTCCCAGTTCCACTCCCAATTCAGCTTCATGCTAATGATTACCCTGGCAGGTAGCAGGTGATGGCTCAAGTCATGGGGTCTCTTCTCTCCCTCTTGGAGTTCTTGCAATATCAGTGAATAGAGATCATCCCCATTTTTTTTTTTACAGCTGCTTGATGTCCCATGCTTGACCATATAGGTCGCCTTAACTTAGAAATGGTGTACCTGTGTTGGTGGGCCTGTAGTTGGCTTGGGAGGGTCAGAAATGGACTCACCTTTAATGTCTATAGCTAGCCCCACATCTCTGGGACAAGTGCACAGCTCTGCACTCCCATCAGCTGTATGTCAGAGTGCCCTTAGAGTTAGTCCAATTAAGAATAACAGGTGACGGCCGGCACTGCGGCTCACTAGGCTAATCCTCCGCCTTGCAGCACCGGCACACGGGGTTCTAGTCCCGGTCGGGGCGCCGGATTCTGTCCCGGTTGCCCCTCTTCCAGGCCAGCTCTCTGCTGTGGCCAGGGAGGGCAGTGGAGGATGGCCCAAGTGCTTGGGCCCTGCACCCCATGGGAGACCAGGAAAAGCCCCTGGCTTCTGCCATCGGATCAGCGCGGTGCGCTGGCCGCGGCGGCCATTGGAGGGTGAACCAACGGCAAAGGAAGACCTTTCTCTCTGTCTCTCTCTCACTGTCCACTCTTGCCTGTCAAAAAAAAAAAAAAGGAAAAGAAAAGAAAGAAAGAAAAAGATGAATACGTATGTGGCAATGAAGCAAGATGAGAGAAATGGAGGACAATTGCAGTTCTGAAGAAATGGCAGGGCCACTGCAGGTGCAGTTTGGAAACCATCATCCAATCATTAGGACTTGATTTTTTAAGTTGTGTTTTCTCTTAAACATTAGGCAGCTTGATATGAACCAACGCTAGGATAAATATCACTGAAATTTTATTTTCCTTACAGTGCTTTCATATTTTTGTTCATCAAAAGTGAAATACCGAATAACACGTGTTCCGTGGATACCACACCACTAATAGCAGAGCATGTGAGTATAGTACAAGAGACAATTTTACTTGATGCATAACATTAGGGTTTGAAACATAGGTGAGAAGACAGTGTTTTCTTGTCACTTGTGGCCTTGTGAAATATCTTAGCATATTTATTATGTCTAGATCTGTGTGGCCCTCAGTATTTCCACAGTGGAACTGTTCAGCATGCCCAGAGGTTTGTTTATTTTTATTGAGTATATTTAGGTATACAGCTCCATGTTTTGGAATGATGTAAGGATTTCTGCAGAAGGGGATTGTGCAAGTAAGTTTAGAAGGAAGGAGGAAGGAGGTGTTCAGGTAGGCTGGAGGAAGGAACAGACCAGGAAGCCAATGAAAGAGTGAGTGAAGTCAGGTGAGGGTACAGTTGAGTTTTGTTTTCTTCCTGTTTCTCTTTTCTGCCATATCCTGATCAGCTCAGAGGTGAAGAAAGGCCACTGTTTTGATCTTGAGGAGTCTAAATTTTTCGGGAATAGCTAAGATGAACTAACTAGGGACATGGGTGTCAGCAAGACATGAACAGAAGTGATTCCAGGGCAAACCCCAGGCCATGAATGCAGACTCTGGTCCTTCCTGCCACCAGTGACCTTCTGCCTGCCTTGGGCCTGGTGCTGTCTGGCTGCTCTCTGAATCATGCCCACCCCCCGCCCAGTCCCACTGAGGGACTGCCTCCTGGCACGGTGCTGCCTCTACTCCTTACGTCAAGGTTAGCATTTCTTTCTCTTTTCCTTCTTCTTCTATCAAAACTTTCACCTAGGATGACTGAAACTTGAAATTGACATGAAAATTGAATGAGAAGTGGGCGTTTGGACAGAAGTTAAGACACTGCTTTAGACGCCCACATCCCATATGTGAGTGCCCAGGTCGAGAGTTCCAACTCAGCTTCTAATCCCAGCTTCTTGCTAATGTGCACCCTGGGAGACAGCAAGGTGATGGCCTAAGTGCTTGGGTCCCTGCCACGCATTTGGAAGACCTGGATTGAGTTGCAGGCTCCTGGTTCTGTGCTGACCCAGCCCTAGCTATTGTAGGCATTTGGAGAGTGAACCAGCAGGAGGAAGATCTCTCTGGCTGTTTCTCTCCCTCTCTCTCTCCCTTCTTCCCTCTCTCTCTCCATCTCTCTCTCTCTCGTGTGTGTGTGTGTGTGTGTGTGTGCGCGCACGTGCACACATGTACCTTTAGAATAAAATGAAAATAATTAAAAATAATTTTAAACATTGAATAATTTGATTAAATGTAAGAGAGAAAAGTGTTTTAATCCATAGATAGCTCTCATCTGGGAAATCATTCAAGGAGAATGGAGGAGTTGGGAGTGGGAGAAGTTCCTAGTGTCCTTTGCCTACTTTGGAGATCAGATACCTTGTGACCAACCTCCATTCAAACAAAGGGAGAAATATAAATACAAGTGCATATAATACATGCAGTGGGGTAACTGCCTTGGATTGTCTAGGCAGGGTGGAAGGATATAAGCTAAGTTTAAAGATACAGAAACAGCATGATAGGTTAGTATGCAACCATCAACCGTGAGCTTCTTACCATGAAATAAAACATTGCCAAAGTAAAGCTTGACTTAGCACATAACAGATACTTCATATCTAGCTTCCCATCTGTTAAAAAACAGTAAGAGCATGCTATCGAGACTACTTAATAAGAGGCACAAAAGATTGCCTTCCATGGTAGAAATATAATGAATTTGCTCATGTTTTTCCTGACTCAGAATATTAGCCCCATCTTGAAACATGGCTGGAAATGTTTAAGTCACTATTTAAGGAAAAGAAAAAAGTATAAAAAGGCTCATTGATTTAAAGCATTCCAGTATAGGAGAATCTGGGTGTTTTGTAGTTCTAATTTCTCTACAGATTATTAAAACATGCAAACAAAATACAATTATTAGTAACTTTTGTTAGATTTAATAGGTGTAGCAAAATAGCTAAAAAATAAATTGTGAAGTAGTTAAATAGAACGCTTTCCAACTCCCAAACCATTGTGAATTAAAGAGGAACAGAATCAGAAACGTTTGATTCTGGGGAGAGCAGAATGCAAAGATTAAATAGTTGTATTCTAAAGATTTATTTATCTATTCAGTTATTTTAAAGAGATCTTCCATCTGCTGATTTACTCCTCCAAATGCCTGCAATGGCTGGGATTGTGCCAGGCTGAAACCAGGAGCTAGAAATAGCATCTGGGTCTCCCATGTGGGTGGCAAGAACTCAAGCACTTGAGCCATCATCCCCTGCTTCTCAGGTGCATTAGCAATGAGCTGGATCGGAAGCTGAGTTTGCAGGCATCCCAGGCAGCCTTTTAACTCTCTGTGCCCCAACGTGTTTGTATTTTAGAGGATGTTTACAAGAGGAGACAGATACTTTGGGAATCTTTTTGTCACCAGTGTGATTAACTGAATGTTCTTTTCGGTTTGTGTGACTGTTCCTAACAGGTGATCAACACAGCTCAAGATTCCTGTCCCAGTGATTCCAGTGACTCCTGGGTGGATAAGCTGTCTACAGTTCACCGCCGCCTAGTGTAAGGAGCAGTTACTTCTCTCTGTTATTGTTTCATATCTGATGAAGGCAGGGGTTACTGGAGTGAAGTGATGGCCATCTGAGTTCAAAAATGGTAATTCAAGCTTTGATTTCTAGCCCCATGGAGTCAAGTTGCTCTTTCCCCTACTAAGTTTTTGGTACAAAGGTCCCTGAGCCACTTCAAGGAAAGCTAAGTCAGGGTGGCCTGGCCTCTAACCAATAACAGATGACAGAAGCAAAATCATTTTGCAGAACTTTTGTGCCCAAAATGAAAGAGATGGTGTAACGACCAAAAAGCTCTTGGTAGTCACAAATTGGTGATGCGTTTCTGCAGTGCTGTACTGCCCAGCTGGCCTGCCCTACTCTGGGGGGTCCTCTGCTCACATGGCAGACAAGTATATAATCCCAAGACATCCGTTGTCAAATACAGTAGAATATTTGGTATCTGTGTGAGTTCTGTCTCATTGTCCATAAGGACTTAACCTATGAGTTGAGTTCGGTTCAATTTTAGTCCTTCTATTTCAGGGTGCTGATTTTGGTTTGTTTGTTTATTTCTTGGACTACAAAAATAATATGAAAATGCACAAAAGTTAGATTTTACATTTGGTGGCTACTTTAACCTTTATGTGCTGACACATTCTTTCGACTCAAGGATATAAAGCATTTCCTTTCTGAGTGTACATACTGTTTTCACAGTGGGCAAGAGGTAGTTCCTGGTGCACTGTAATCAACAAATACTTGAATGAATGAACTACCAAGAAACAAGCTTTGGAAGAAAGCAGTATGTTGCAGGATTTGCACAATAAAATAAATCTTTCCAAAAAATGAATTTTTTCAGACTTTTTTTTCACAAAGCACTTCCTCCATTAGAGGAGTGTTTGTTAATCAGTCAATCTATATAGCATGTATATACTATCTACACACACACACACACACACACACACGTAGGTCTTAAGTTTGGTCTTATGTGTGAGACATTCCAGGACAGCGAAGGCCAGGTTCTCATGATGTAGGAATTCCCAGTGTTGGAAGAACACACTGTCCTGGCAGCCTGTGACTTCTCACAGACTCATATTCCTCAAATGAGACTGATCATGTTAAGATTCCTTACATGAGAAGTAATAAGTTGGCTAAGAATTTTCTTTTAAGCTTAAAAAGGTAGAGTTTTTGCCTAAAATTGTTTCCTGTTTCATATTACTGTCCTTTGTGTGAAGTCTAAGTGATTGTTCTAAAATATCAGTCACCCCGCCAAGCCACCCCACAATGTCACTGGAAGTGCTTGCTTCAAGCATATATGGGCTAAGTCTGGGGAATCAGCAAGACCCCAGTACTTAGAATAGAACATTTCCTTCTGATAAAAAAGGAAATTTTCATCTGAGGTATGCAGATTATTTGATTAATCACCACTTTGTCTTCAGCAGGCCATAGTCAGCTAAGATATGGGCAGGCTGTGGATGTCTATAGTCTGGAACAAAAGTGAATTTAACACTTAGTCTATCCTAGTTCTGTTCTAGGTGCTTTTGTTTGTTTGTTTGTTGTTGTTTTTTTTTTTTTTTTTTTTTTTTTTTTTTTTGACAGGCAGAGTGGACAGTGAGAGAGAGAGACAGAGAGAAAGGTCTTCTTTTTGCCGTTGGTTCACCCTCCAATGGCTGCCGCGGCCGGCGCGCTGCAGCCTGCGCACCGCGCTAATCCGATGGCAGGAGCCAGGTGCTTCTCCTGGTCTCCCATGGGGTGCAGGGCCCAAGCATTTGGGCCATCCTCCACTGCACTCCCTGGCCACAGCAGAGAGCTGGCCTGGAAGAGGGGCAACCGGGGCAGAATCCGGCGCCCTGACCGGGACTAGAACCCGGTGTGCCAGCGCCGCAAGGTGGAGGATTAGCCTACTGAGCCGCGGCGCCGGCCTTCTAGGTGCTTTTAAAAAATGCATAGAGCATGGTATCACTTTGCAAAATAGTTCATGTAATGAGATCGCTGGGTATATTGTAGAATATATAATATAAAGGTAGCAAAATTCTTACTAGTGTAATGACAGTTTTTTAGAGATTTATTTTTTATTTATTTGAAATGCAAAGTTAACACAGAGAGAAGGAGAGGCAGAGAGAGAGAGAGAAAGAAGTGTCTTCCATCTGGTGGGTTACTCCCCAGTGGGCTGTAACAGCAGAGCTGCACCAATCCAAAGCCAGGAGCTTCTTCCCAGTCTCCCATGTGGGTGCAGGGGCCCAAGGACTTGGGCCATCTTCCACTGCTTTCCCAGGCCATACCAGAGACCTGGATCGGAAGTGGAGCAGCCAGGTCTTGAACCTGCACGCCCCATGGGATGCCGGCATTTCAGGCCAGGGCCTTAACCCGCTGCGCCACTGCCAGCCCCACGTGTAATGACAACTTACAAAGATACTCCATTATCACATCTGTAAATCCTGTCCTTCCAAAATTAGACAGTGGAACTGATGCAGCCCTTCTAATCGGGATGCCATTGTGTCATTACAGGTATTTCTTTGACTTCTGTCAGTTGCAGAGCTTGAGATAAATGGGTGGTTTCTGCTTACTGCTTGTGATTTGCATTTTGAACCTTGCGTTAGTTGTGAGTCCATTTGTGAATTAGCCAGAAATACTGCCTTGAGCCAATACTCATAATGATTTCATTATCTCTCAAGAGGTTGCAGTCTGGCCGTGATATCTGGAGTACTCTATGGGTCTACATTTGTGCCAATCATTTATATCAAGGACCACAGCAAAAGAAATGATAGCACGTATGCAGGGGCAAGCCAGTATGGTAAGGGCAAATAATCATTTTACTTTGCAAACAATCTCGTTGTTACCATTTTCATAGAAATGTATAAGAATTATGATGATAGTAAATATTGGTATGTAGATTTCATCTTACTTTTTCATTGTGAGCAGTGAAATGGAAAGGCATTGAAAACTAAAATTAATAAAGGACTGTTGGAGTGTTTTCTGGAGATTTTTAACATGCACTTATAATGACTTTAGTCAGGATTCATTTCAGCCATGTGGTCGGAGTGCATGGTTTCTTACTTTCCAATAAGATTTGGAGACTATTTTGCATTTAGATAATCTCTGAGCTAATATGTATTCTACTCTTTTAGAATAGGTTAAGGTGCCTAGCATAAAACTAACTTCAAGTAAAGGTCAAAGTCTAGCCTTACTAAGATCAAAGTAGAACCCTGTTTAGCCAGAGAATATTATTTTTCAAGCACAGCACAGTGCATTGGAAAGCCCAACGTAATGCTTCCTGATAGCATCTTAGATTCCAGTGACAGAAGTAATCCCTCAGCAGTAAACTCATCACTGGGCGCAGTGCCTTGTCCAGGCTCCCAGGGAGTTGAAAGAAGGGCTGCTCTGAGGGTTCTCGAGCTGTGTAGAAACACGGCTGACACGCATGAAATGGCAGGAGAATGAGTTCACGGATGAGGCAGAGTTCAGAGTCTGAAGGGCGAAAGTCATAAGGGGAAAATTGATGAAGAAATTGAGATTTGAAATTGGCTTAAAGAGAGGGGTAGACTTTGAGTAGATGCCACGGTTCCCTTCATCATTTTTATATCTAGCCCCGTGCACAGTACTTATGTCTTTTATTCACATCTTTCTTTTGGTTTTATACAAATAATTTTATTAGTTTTTATTGACTAATAGAGAATAGATGTCATAGATGTAATTCCAAGAATACAACAATACTTCCCTCCCTCTCTCCTCCTTCCTTTCTTTCCTTTTTGTGTTCTACATGTTTGCAATAACAGACTTTCAACTTTACAATCACAGGCTCAAATACTTTTTGCATATTTAGCCTTTTCATTTTTAAAATATTATAACTAACAAAAAGATGATTACATGAGAGAAATTAAAATAGAAGGGAAAACAAGAGTGAAGAAATAAATAGTAACCATGAGTGAATCTAAAAACTTATACACTTTCTAAAAATGAGTCATAAATTTGGTTCTCAGATATCTTACAGCCAAAAAGGGTATCAAACGAGTCCCACAATCCAGTGAATACAAGAGAACAACAACTGATTGTTCAGGAGTAAAGTTGTTCTTGGTACTGGGGCATAATAAACAGTATCTTCAACAATCTCATTGCATAGATAGAACAATGAGTTCTTGGAGTTCTTTTTTATGGCACCGCTGAATGTACTCATTTATTCTAGTTTATTCAAAAATAGTTTTAGGAAGAAATTTTAGGAAGGAAATTATTTTTATTTCATTTATTTAACAAATACATATATAGTATGTGTCCTTTTCTTTTCTTTTTTTTTTTTTGACAGGCAGAGTGGACAGTGAGAGAGAGAGACAGAGAGAAAGGTCTTCCTTTGCCGTTGGTTCACCCTCCAATGGCCACCTGGCTGGCGCACTGCGCTGATCCGATGGCAGGAGCCAGGAGCCAAGTGCTTTTCCTGGTCTCCCATGGGGTGCAGGGCCCAAGCATTTGGGCCATCCTCCACTGCACTCCCTGGCCACAGCAGAGAGCTGGCCTGGAAGAGGGGCAACCGGGACAGAATCCGGCGCCCCAACCGGGACTAGAACCCGGTGTGCCGGCGCCGCTAGGCGGAGGATTAGCCTAGTGAGCCGCGGCGCCAGCCATATGTGTCCTTTTCTAAGCACTTTACAAATACTGACTCAGTTAACCATCGTAGTAACTGATACCATTATTTTTCTCTTTTACAACTGAAAAAGTTAATAGAGGGAGATTTTAGGTAATTTGCCTGCATCCCAAATTCAGTGAGTCATGTAAGGAAGCATCACACCAGGCAGCTGTGGGGGAGGGTGGTTTAATTACCATGCTATTCTCCTTTCTTGTGGTCCATATCTAGATGTATTGTTCTTAGGGGGCGATACAAAAGTAAAATTGAAGAGTCAGAGAATAAACAAAAACTCTTTGTGCTTTAGTTTGCCTCCCTAAGCACAGGCATTCTTCTTGGTCAAAATCTTGGATGGCAGAAACATTGAGTGCAATGTAGCTTCCCAGCCAAGAAGCTACACTACACCCATGTGTGTGACCAGAGGACCACCAGCTTAAATGGGCAGGCAGCGTGGCTGGTTTCTCAGAGACTGGGCCAGTGTCATGTGCTGTTAGCTTACGCAAACAATTGAGTAAAACTTTTGGAGTAACTTCCTGGATCTTTCTGTGTAGTTGTCAACTGTAGCAGAAATGCTGGTCTCCACATTGATCAATAACCACGTGAAACTGCACACCAAAATACTTTGAAGCTATACCTCCACTGCAGTACAACTGCTGCATTTATTAGCAAAAGTAGATCTGCAGACCTGTTCTTAAAAGGGAGATAGTAACATCACAGGCACAGAATGCTCGTAGTGTCTTATTCAGCGTTCCAAGATGGTCATAAAATCTAGCCTTTTAGATCTGATCATAGTAACTGATTTACTGCCTAGCATTTCTAGGATTTAAATATGTTAATTTTGCCATATGAACAGCATATTGAAAACTAGAGTGATGAAATATAATTAATAGTTCCTTTACTTTTATGGTTAGTTTTGATGAGTTTGTTTTATTTTCAGAAATCTAAGTGTATCTGAAATGGTTAAAGTGATGTGTGAGTTACGTATTCTGTGTTTTCAGATTTGGACTATGTGTTTGCACACTTCAGTGGCATCTTTCTTACAAGTACCGTCTACTTTCTGGCTTACTGTGTAGTCATGAAAAATAGTCCTAAACTGTATCCTGAAGCAGTCTTACCAGGTAAGACTATTTCCTGCAGAAAATCATCATACTGTGAAAGTATTATGCTGTACTTACTTAGCTTGAATAATTCTATGTGTTCATTCCCTTAATTGCTATGGCGCAGTTCACCATCAAATATGAAGAATTTAAAAACCAGGGAACTGGATATGAAATGTTAGTCATTATCACAAAAGCTTAATTTTTTTAAGATTTATTTTATTTATTTGAAAGACAGTTAGAGAAAGATGTAGAGCCAGAGAGAGAGACAGAGGTCTTCCATTCTGCTGGTTCACTCCCCAGATGACTGCAATAGCCAGAGCTGAGCTGATCCAAAGGCAGAAGCCAGGAGCCAGAAGCCAGGAGCTTCCTCTGGGTCTTCCACATGGGTTCAGGGGCCCAAGGACATGGGCCATCCTCTCTTGCTTTCCCAGGCCACAGCAGACAGCTGGATCGGAAGAGAAGCAGCTGAAACTCAAACCAGTGCCCATATGGGATGCCGGCACCGCAGGCTGGGGCTTTAACCCGCTGTGCCACAGTGCCAGCCCCCAAAAGCTTAAATTTAAGCAGCAGTTAATCTCAGATCTTTTCCTGTGCTGACACATCTTCTATATTAAGCATCAATCTTTAGTATTTGTTTTTCACTATCTAAGGATTCATATTAGAAGTCAGGATCCTGAGACTTTATAAGAAAAAGTATCAAAAAATAAGAATCTTTAGTCACGTAGGAAAACCATTTATCCCGAAATAAGAAGATATTGTTATACAATTTAAAAGAGGTGTGAATTAAATTTTTTTGTACTTAGTCAATCCATTAGTAGTTGCTAATTTAAAAAAAAATTACTCAGGGATAGCCTTTAGGCTATATCTGAGTGTCTAGGTTCACGTCTTGGCTCCATTTCCAATCCAGTCTGCCTGAAGATGTACACACTGGGAAGCAGCATTGATGGCTCAAGTGTTTGTGTTCCTGCCATCTATGTGGGAGACCCAGATTGAGTTCCAGTCTCCCAACTTTGGCTTAGCCTTGTCCTGGCTGTTGTGAGCATTTGGAGAGTGACCAGTTGATGGAAGATCTCTCTGTTCTCTCTATGTGTCTCAAGTAAAATGAAAATAAGTAATTGTTTTAAATCCTGGTTTAGGAATATAGGTCTACAAGTAATCTTTTTTTTTTTTTTTTTTTTTCTGACAGGCAGAGTTAGACAGTGAGAGAGAGAGAGGTCTTCCTTTTCCATTGGTTCACCCCCCCAATGGCTGCTGCGGCCAGCGCACCGCGCTGATCGAAAGCCAGGAGCCAGGTGCTTCTCCTGGTCTCCCGTGCAAGTGCAGGGCCCAAGGACTTGGGCCATCCTCCACTGCCTTCCCGGGCCACAGCAGAGAGCTGGACTGGAAGAGGAGCAACCAGGACAGAATCCAGCGCCCTGACTGGGACTAGAACCCGGGGTGCCGGCGCCACAGGTGGAGGATTAGCCTAGTGAGCTGCAGCACCGGCCTACAAGTAATTTTTTTAAAGAATAAAATAAAGCATAAGTCAGATTTATTTTGAATGCTTGATTGATTTATACTAAAGTGTGCCATCTTTTATGGTAGAATACTTACTGAGTAGCTAAAGTATTGGGAGATTTTCAGCTGGTATTTTCACTTAAATACTAGTGTTTTTTCCCTTAGCTTAGAATGATACATAGATTAACATGAAGCTCTTCCTATGTCTTTAGAGTGAATGGTACTTGCAGATGTCATTCAGACCTAAGATCTAGTGGCTTCCCTAGGCCTGTGTTTACCACCCAGTCTCTACTTCAGCCACTCTAAAGGGGACTTTATTTAATGTCAGTGAAGTGGAAGGATCGATCATTCCACCCATAGGAGTCAAGGGCGGGAAAATTATTTGGTTTCTAAAATGACTATAAAACACAGTTCAAAACCCATGCTGGCCACCATTGTGGGTAGGAATGCGTTCTTCCCCGCACTTTGATCTTCTGCTGTAGAAAGTGTGAATCTGTCCTGTGAGGAGTGCAGTTTGTAAATGTGTCCTGTCTGTGGGTGTTGCAGGCTTCCTGTCGGAAGTGCTCTGGGCGATAGCCACCTGCTGTTGGTTCATAGCTAATCACTCTCTAAGTGCCGTGGTCAGCTTTCCAATCATCACTGCTGTGAGTAGCTGAATTGTTTCTTCCAAATGTTTGTTCTTCAAAGGCAAAGCTAATTTTCTGGAGGCATTCCTAGAAACACTGAGGGCTGTCATGGAGTCTGAGTTTTCAGCAGTACGAGGAGTAGAACAGATGCAGGTAGATAAACTAACAAACACTCATCCTCATCGCATTGACTGCTCAGGAACACTTCTTATCTCATTTTAATGGGCTTATTGATAATAAGCTGTAATATCCCTGTAGATCACTGTTTGATAATTTTGCCTAGTGTCATGTTGCGTACATGGAAGGGGTAGGAGTTTTGGCCTAGAGTTCAAGATGCCACTGGGACAGTCGCATCCCGTATTGGAGTGCCTGGGTTGGAATTCCGCTGTCCTCCCAGTTCAGGACACTGCTAATGTGCACAGTGGGAAGCAGCGTGATGACTTCACTAGCTGGTTTCTTCCCATAGAAGTTGGAGACCTGGATTGAGTTCCTGGCTCCCGGCTTCAGCTTGGCCCAGCCTCAGTCATTGCGGGCATCTGGGGAGTAGAGCAGTGGTTGGGAGTTCACACTCTCTCTCTCTAGTTTCTGTCTCAGCCCCTACACCTTTCAAATAAATAAACATATTTTTAAATGTTTAACATTCAAGAAAAATGTATATCATGAAAAAACTAAATATTGAAATTCAGTTTTTTTCACCAAAATAAACTTACTTCTCTTTTAATTCTAATTTCCACAGATGTTTTGAAGTACCCTTATATTTGCTAGTTATAACAGAGTTAATATGAATTTATATAATAGTTTATAAATATAAAAATGTTTTTGGTCCTTCAAAAAATACATGGAAAATTTTCAAAATTGTATTTTGATGCAAAATAAAGAGATTGATGCATAGTTTTCTCATGATACTCATTCTACATGAACTTTTTGAAGATCCCTCATATCACTACACTTGGATCTCATGACAACCTTGAGAGATTGAAAGTACTTTAGACTGCCTGAGAAAGCACTAAGGGACTGTCTCTGGTGATACTATTTATCATGGAGTATGTCATATTAATTTGCTTCATCTGATTTTTTAGGTACCAGTTATATAAATGTAATTAAGCAACCAAAAACCAGAAGTGTTTCCTTTCGCAGGATAGGTAGTGACAGGATTATCCCAATTTTAAAGATTTATTTATTTATTTGAAAGGCAGAGTTACAGAGAGGCAGAGGCAGAGAGAGAGAAATCTTCCATCACTGGTCCACTCCCCAAATGGCGGCAGTGAATGGAGCTGGGCCAATCCGAAGCCAGGAGCCAAGAGCTTCTTCGGAAGGAAATGGAGGCAATAGCTAAGAGCATTGTCCCAAATCACACAGACTGGAGATCTAAAGACTCCTGCTGAGTGTCCAGTACCCCAGGCTACTTTCTGCCATCAGCATGGCATCCAGTTTAGAATTTGTTTCAGGTCATTACGATACTGGACTGATCCGTACTTCCAGGAGCTGCTTCAGTGGTGGGGTGGGCTTTTATGTCTACCACAGACATCTTACACTGCCCACCAGCTGCTTACCTGCATCCCCTGCTTCCTAAGTCACATCACAGAATTTGCCTGAAATGTTTTAGTAGCACACCTGTGCAAACCTAGAAAACTGGTTTTTTAAAAAACATGTTGTCTACTTTAGAAAGCTTAGCATTTGAAGATTTATTTATGTATTTGAAAGAGTTACAGAGAGAAAGGAAGATAGAGAGAGAGAGATCTTCCATCCACTGGTTCACTCCCCAGATGACCACAACAGGCAGGGCAGGCCCAGGCCAAAGCCAAGAGCCCAGAGCTTCTTCCAGGTCTCCTACATGGGTGGCAGGAGCCCAAGCACTTGGGTCACCTTCTGTCTCTTTTCTCAAGCCATTAACAGGGAGCTGGATTGGAAGTGGAGCAATCGGAACATGAACTGGTGCCCTTATGGGATGCTGGTGTCGGAGGCGGCAGCTTTATCCACTACAGCACCACTCTGGACCCAAAGTTTGATTTATACTCTGGGTTTGAAAGAGTATGTTTTTTACTGTTGTAGTGTGCTTATTAAACAGTTTTCACATGTAACTGAAGTCAAATAATACAGAGATTTAAAAATTTAAATAACCCACATTTTTGACATTCGTAATCCCCATGGAGGGAGAATGTCCAAATCTAGCAAATTCTAAGGAATATCTTTAGGTCCACAGTCCTTATAATTAGAATGACAAAGGAAGCAAATTCTTTCCAAGAAGGATTTTTGTTGTCCATCATTTCAAGACTATTTAATGTTAAATGTGGTAAGAAAGGGGCCGGCGTTGCAGCATTGTGGCATAGAGAGTAAAGCCGCCACCTGTGTTGCCAGCATCCCATATAGGCTCCGGTTCATGTCCTGGCGGCTCTGCTTTTAATTCACTTCCCTGCTAATGGCCTGGGAAAAACAGCGGAGGATGGCCCATGTTTGGGCCCCTGCACCCATTTGGGAGACCCGAATGAAGCTCCTGGCTCCTGGCCTTGGCCTGGCCCCATCTCTGGCTGTTGTGGCCATCTGGGGAGTAAACCAGCCAATGGAAGACCTCTTTCTCTCTTTTTCTGTAACTTTGACTTTAAAAAAGAAAATATAACAGGCAATTAGGTATCATGTTTACCTGTAAATATTTGAGAGCAGCTTTGTAGAGAAAAGTAAAGTATACAGTGTATGCTCCTCATTTACAGATACAAATATTATTTGACAGTATTAAGTTCCACTAGTAAAAGAAGGTACAGAATTGATTAAAACAGATCAAATCATTATTCACAGCAAACTTAAATTTTTATCTTTATCATAAGAATGATGTGCATCGTAAGGCAGTGATTTTGTTCTTTTAATCAAATTATATTCTTAAACAAATATAAACTTTGAGGCAAGTTTACATAAAATATACAGATATAATTCAGTTAAATGATACAAATAGGCAAACACAAATAGAAAATCAAAGCCATGGCAAAGAAAAAGGAAACAAATAGCATAAAAGGCAAATAGTTGCTGTGATTAGACAGTTGATTTTACTCTGTACTTCTAAAACTATAACACAACGTTTAGCTAATTCTTATTAACTGTTAGCTTATTATTTCTTTAGAAGAAACCTATTTTTTTCTAGTACTAATTTCTTTATAGAACTGATCATATGGGGACTTTTGATGGGGACATAGAACTACAAATAAACAAAATCATTCACTAAAATGTTACAGCAGATGCAGAAATGGTTATACTAATGTTTCTTGTATTGAGGTACGGCAAAGACTGGGAACGAAACATGAAAGCTTAATGCTGTGGACAAAGTTATGGAGGTGTGCACGGAGGGTTGGTGGAGGTGGTCTCTGGCCTTTGAAGACTGAAAGGGTCCTGGTGTCGCTTCCTGCTGTGCTCTGGCCCCTCCCTATCTGGGAAGGATGGGTATCTGGGGGAATGGGAGGGAATAGGTCCTTGCTGCTACCAGGTTCTTGCTTGGTTTCACTTTTGTCACTCTCTGCAAGGACACCCTTATCCTTCTTTATTTTTTTCTTTATTTTATTGACATTCTTTTTTATTATATATATTTTATTTGCAGTCTTTATTTTATCTCTTTGGTTGGGCTAGATTCTTTTAACAACCACAAAATTTGAAACATACCTATCACCTAGCTTCAGCAATCACGTATGATCCAACTTATTCTATCAAAAGTTCGAGATTTGATCCCAGCTGCACTTCTTCCCAGGGACACATGTTCTCGTGGTTATGTATCCCGTGGTGATCAGACTGTTTGTTGCTTAAGAGCAGCATCTGTCCTGTGTCTAGCAAGTAGCGTTCGGTTAAAAAGCCAAAATGGAGAGGAATGAACCCCACGTAGCAGGGGCACAGACCTGTTGCTACGGCTCCAAGTCTTCCCTGCTAATTCTAAAAGCCAAATCCCATTTTTCCACAGGTTTAGCTTCTCAAGATAGTACCATGCTCATTTTGGTTTCAAAGGCTGATTTATACTTTTTTGGATTAATTTACAAAGGAAGACATAAAATCCCAGCAGCCAAGACCGCGGCCACCGTCTGCCATGGCCTTCCTTTCCGGCTGTCCTTGGTGGGAGGCAGAGACTCCCGGCCTTGACCGCTGTGTGCGCTACTTTCATAAGGCGCTACTTTCTGTTACTACGGAACTCTCTGCAGTAGCCTTTAGACCACGTCCAAACTGACATTTAGAAAACTGTCAGACAAAATGTCTAAAGGTGTTATTGTGTCACACCACATTCTCTGAAGGGAAATGGATTATTTTTACCCAGAAACCTTTTATTTAAGGTGTAGAAACCTCATGCATTTCATAAATACGAATTTAGGAACGTAGTGATTCTTCCCACCCTACCTGCACTCCCACCCCAACTCCCACCCTTTTCCCTCCTCCTTCTCCTAGGGAAGTGAATTATTAAAGACAAAAATTCTTGAGTGACTGCATGACTTTAATCTTATTTATTTTTTAAAAAGATTCATTTATTTATTTGAAAGAGTTACACAGAGAGAGAAGGAGAAGCAGAAAGAGAGATCTTCCGTCCACTCATTCATTCCCCAATTGGCCGCAACGGTCAGAGCTGCACAGATCCAAAGCCAGGAGCCAAGAGCTTCTCCCTGGTCTCCCACGTGGATTTAGGGGCCCAAGGACTTGGGACATCTTCTACCGCTTTCCCAGTCCATGGCAGAGAGCTGGATCTGCAGTGGAACAGCTGGGACTTGAACCAGTGCCCATATGGGTTGCCGCACTGCAGACGGTGGCTTTACCCACTATGCCGCAGCGCCGGCCCCAATGTTAATATTATTTATCCAGTTTCTCCCATCCTATGGAAGGTCAGTGTGAGGCTGTCTGAAAGATTCTTGTGCTTCCTGTTTGATTTGGATTTCGAGGCTTAGGACCTTATGGGATTGGCAAAAGGCAGTTCTTTGACCTATGTCTCTAGCTCTTTTGATGTTGACTTTTCAGATGATAATAAAGAGTGTATTTATCGCTTCACTTGCATGCCAGGAGTGGAACCAAACTTTGTTGACCTGGTCATTTCGACAGTTGGTGTAGCGGCAGATGAAAACCATTTAGGATCATTGATGTGAGACTCCTCACATTTCCTGCAGGGTGTGGAGGGAAATCATAATGATGATATAATACATTTTGTACACAGAGACCATTATTAACTCAAATGGCAGTTTTTCTCCTCCTTGGCTAAAATAATTAACATCAGATTTGAATGGCTTACAGGTCTGAAATATCAGGATCATTCCTTGTCTTCACTTCCTCGCATGTTGGTCGCATTATTTTATCCCTGCCTTGTCTCCTGACCAGTGACCCCTGTGGTTGCTTTTGTCATTATGAGGCTTTTTTCTCTTCCCATAAAACTATCTGCAGCGTTCATTAGCACCCAGTGTTGGATTATTTGATTGCTGCGCCATAATAATTATCAGTACATGTTTCTACATACATGCTGTGTCCATACGTACGTGAACGCACATTATTTGTCAGGCCCCAAAGAACACACCATTACCTCACACCAAAGAAATTTAGAAGCATATTCATACACTTTATCTTATTAATTCCATTTCTAAAATCCTAAGGAACTAAGTCAGTGGAGAAAAATCTGTTTTCTGATTAAGTAGTTTATTATAAATATATACATTAAAGTATATTCTGTGGCACAGAATACCATAGCATCGTCAGAATGATAAAATGAAGAACATAGAAAAAAGAGTCATTTTTTTACTTTATATTACTTAATATTAGCATAATGTGGAATTATGGTTAAGATTATGGGCAGTTTTCCCTGAAAATATTTTTATTTGCTGTCCAACTTACACTATTTACAGAGTACAGTCATAAGAAAATACCTAGTTTAATAAAAGTTTTTATCTTTATTTAAGGGCCCAGGATTTATAGCTGCAATGTGGGGTGTCTTCATGTTTAAAGAAATACAGGTATGTATAAGAAAGGGCAAATTTAGAAAACAGGAATATGTCCAAGTAAGAAGCGTATTCAACATTAAGTTTCTGAAATCTGTATGTGGCTCGTAAGCCCAGGGCAGAAACACACAAATGAATTTGACAGGTAAAGTGTTGAAAATGTTCTGTGCCTATGGAGGAAAGCAAGCCGAGAGCCAGGGTAGTTATTATGAAGCGTCGTGTACGCCTCACTGCACCAAGAGGGGAAAAGACTTCAGTTAACCTTCATTGCCCCGAAGGGATTCTAGTTAAATAACTCAACAACATATGAAAGATTAAGTGCTGGGGCCAGCACTGTGGTTTAGAAGGTTAAGCCTCCATCTGCAGTGCTGGCATCCCACATGGGTGCAGGTTCAAGTCCCGGCTGCTCCAGTTCCAGGGCAGCTCCCTGTTAATGTACCTGGGAAAGCAGCAGAAGATGGCCCAAGTGTTTGGGCCCCTGCTACCCACATGGGAGACCTGGGAGTGAACCAACAGATGGAAGATCTCTTTCTCTCTCTCTCTCTCTTCTCTCTCTACTTCTGCCTTTCAAACAAATATATCTTTAAAAAAATTTTAAAATGCTAAGTATAAAATGTCATATATAAGCAGAATAAAAGGTTTTTGGTTTGTTTGTTTGCTAGTTAGTCCAAAGGGTAAATTACCCTTTGAAGCAAATAAGATAAGGAGATACAGCTTTATTTTAGTCCTCATGCTTCCCAAAGGCCTCCCTGTTAAACCAGTTTAGTGACTGCTGGCTACCACCATTTCTTCCTCTTTCAAAAGCAAATGATGGGGATGTAAAACCTAGCTCTGGTGTGTGTGTGTGTGTGTGTGTGTGTGTGCAACAAAAATTATTTTAGAACTTTTTTTCCTAGGGAAAAGATCTTTAGTTGTTGACTAAACACGAATGATGCTTTATAATAGTTTTTGTAAAGGCATCGTAAATCCAAAGACTCTCTGTGGGGACATCAGAGACGCAGTGTTTTCTGTTGTAACATGCAGTTGTTTTAACAAATAATGCTGCTTCCAGGAAGATACTAAGTTGCTAATCTCTGGACAGCATCAAGTGGAAGTATTTCTAGCTAGCTGACCTTTAAAATGATTATTCAGTTTTGGATTTGAAACATCCCGATGATAATAAAAGGTCTCAATTAAAAGAGCCATCACTTGATAATACAAGTAAGAGTCTCACATTAAGCTAATATTTGGCCTATAATCTGGATTTTTATTTCTTAAATACACAAGTATAATCTAAAACATTTACAAATACATGTGTTAAGTTCATATGCATTTCTCATTTATTTTAGTTGTAGTCCCTTTCTATAAAAAGTCACTAAGTGCCCAAAATGTGTTATAAATCTCCCTACAGATATTTCACCTACATCACAAAATATTTATTTGTATTCAACAATTTGACACTGTCTTAGAAAATCACAAGTTAGTGATTGTAGCTTGTTTGCAATTATAGGTATAAAGAAGCACACACTAAGAAAGCATTTGAAAATTATTTTGGTCACTGTTGCAAAAAAAAAAAAAAACAGTCAAAAATTGTCTTAACTTACACGTAAGAGCTGTCTTCACAGGCAGAATTCCTAGCCAGAAATCTTAGTACTAATTCTTCAGAATCCTCTAAAAACATCTGAGGCAGAGTCAGAGTTTTTTTTCCCTAAAAACATCTTTTAAAAAGACACCTCTGACCAAACAGATAATTTTAAAGGCCCACCTACACCCAAGAAAGGTTTAATTCAGGAATTCAAGGATAGCTCGTAACATGCAAATCAATTAAAGTTACTGACTACAATATTGGGTAAACAGAGGGAACTGGTAATGTACACACTGCTCACCTCGCAGTCAGCAAGAGGAAGGAAGCCTGACCTGGACAGAATGTCTGTGAAAAAAGCATCAGAGACATGTAGCTCGAGTGGAACAGGATTCTCTGTAAGTTGGGAGTCAGCGCTTTCTCCGTTGCCACTATCAGTCAATATTTTCTGCAGATCCTCGCCAGTTTGGTAAGAAATAAAGGAACTAATACACGAAAGGAAATGAGAAAAGTGTCACCTACAGGTGGTCTTACCTTTTAAAAAACCGTGAAATAATCACCTGAAAATCTTAAACTCCAGTAAGATCAGATTCAAACACGATTTACTTCACTGCAAAAACTTACAGTCGGACATAGACGGCAAAGCACATTGAAGAGGTAGAGACTTCCCACAGGCCCTGAGGAAGCAACTCACACTTCTCAGCAGGCGGTGACGTCTACTTCCATGCAGTGGGAGTCCAAGGAAATCCCAGAGAAGCACTTTTTTTTTTTAATTTTCAGAGTAAGTTCTCAAGTTTGGCTAAGTATGTATTTAAAATAGGCCATAAACATAAAAATAAGCACATGCCCCCTCTTTCTGAAATATCTGCAACTTAGATTGAGAATATTTGCTTATAAAGTAAGAATTTTTAAACATTAGAAATGACTGCTCTTTTCTATTGATATGAAAAGAGAGAGAGAGAGAGAAGGCTGAAGTGAATGTTACTGACCCCAACAGAGTTAAAGGTAAAACCCGATCCGTCTACCTACAAACAAAAGTTAAGAGGTGTCCAGAGGTGCTTCTGATTCAATGCAGATGTTTCATTGCCTCTTTCTAGCTGTTTTAAAGGAAAGTTTTGAGTACACACCCACCAGGATAGTCCCCTGGAAATATTTGTAAGTGTTTTTATTAGAAACCACACCAAATTCTCTAAGCTTCTAAGAATACGAAAGCAAAGCCTTTATTTTTGTGACTCTTAGATCCTACCAGGTCTGCGTCTTGAAGCTGTCCTTGGAGACAAGTATTTTATAGTACTCAGCTTAACAGGTGCAAGGACTAGCAGGGGACCCAAGGACCCTTGTGCCCAGGAGCTCAGTGATATGCTTTCAACATCATCACTCAGTCAGTCGGAAATTTTGCAATCCTAATCTTCTTTTAAATCCCATATCTGTTACTCTTTGAAAATGTTGTTTTAGAGTATTACATTGGTAAACTATAAGAAGTTATGATTTCACCAACACACTTTAATCAGTGTGTGTACAGTAATAACAACACAGGGAGTTATTACCACGACAATTTAAAATTGGCTACTTCAGATAAAGAATGAGCTCACCTGTTATATTTTATTATTGTTTTTTGGCAATAGTGACCCTAAAATACTTCAGGAATTCAGGCTAACATCTTTTGACTTTGGAAAGAGGGCTAGCGTGCTTTTTTGAGTGTTAATATTCACCTTTGACAAAGGAAAACTCTTGCTCTTGCTCAAATATATTCAGCCCTTTTTTCTCGAGAAGAGTAAGCAGTTGGGACAGGTTCGTAACCATCCCTGACAACATTATTCATATGTCCACAGATAAGAAAAAAATGAAGCTTAGAACGTAGTCACATAATTAGTATGTAGAGTGCTTATAATTTAAGCCCATGTTTAAAAATTTAAGTAATTGCATCAATTTCTAATGGACAAAGGACGTTTGGAAATCACCCACGTATATTCGTTCTTTGAACAAATATGAAGACTCTAGAAAAAGTTCATGGAAGATGCGTATTATCAAGAAAACTAATGTGGGTTTTAACAATTTTTGTACCAAAATAAACTCATCTTTGAATTTCATTTTTCTGTGAACTTTTTGAAGTGTCCCCATATTTGTTATGTTTAGGCTACACTGGTAGTACTGTCTACATTAAGATTAAAGTTTTTACACCTAAGGAAACAGATGTTGGGAAACCCAGAGGTTCAGTGTGTGTGTGTGTGCGTGTGTGTGTGTGTGCGTGTGCATAAATAAACTGCTCTGTACTTGGCAAACCTTTTGTAGACACTCTTATTAGAGTGACTTCTAGTAGTGCGGAGGCCCACAGTGAGTCAAACAACTCAACTCACCCCACCCTGACATACAGAGCTCTATTTCAAACAGAGGCAAAGTGACCCATGCTAACCCAAATCTTGACTAAGTCGCAGAAAGGAGAGCAGTGTGTGCATGTGGTCAGCCTGGCCTGGCCTGCCCGAAGTCTAGTTTCTTGTGGGAGCCCTGTGAGAGCTTCCCTGCCCGAGTTTCTCTCAAAACAGTTACAGCCAACACAGAAACCCCCTCCCTCATTGCAGGGAGAAATGGGTCTCTCTAAGCCTTTACTCTGAAGTAAAGAAAAGCCGCTCCTTTGCCTGGCTGTAGGAACCCAGGCTGGGGCTTGGTCCTCACTGATTTCCCGCATGAGCACAGAAGAGGGGCTGTGCGGTGGTGGTGGTAAGGGCTGGGGGCTCGCAAATTCAGACATCCCTGGGGTCAACCCCTTATGAGCTCTCTGCCCCCGATGAGCAGTGCAGCTCTGTGGAGACCCAGCATCCCATGCCCACAGCCTTCCCTGAAGTTTTACCCCAAACTGGGGAAGTCTCAGGCTGCAGTGCGGCAGACCCAGAGGCAAGAACGTTCACAGGAGAAAGTCCTCCTCTCCTTTCCCCGTGGATGGGAGCGGGCTGGGTGCCCCACCGCTACCTGGAGTAGCCTCCTCCCTCTTCCCTGTTTTCTGCCCAGAACCCGTATGTGTCTTCTTTGTGACTTAAAATTAATCATTGTTGTTTTTGCTATTTTTTTAAAAAAAGGAGGTGTTATAGTATTATATGATTTGACTCTCAGAAGATCTGAATGTAATGAGACCATAATACTAAAGTCAGAGAGATGCTGGTCCTGTTTCATTTTGTGACACTCAACCCTTGCCTTAGAGTACTGGGGTCTGTCTGCAAAATAGATACAGGCAAATTCAGAGAGGAACAGCCAGGACAGTAAGGGAGGTTGAAACCACTGCACATGAAGAGTGGTCATCAAAGAAGCTAAAATACTGAGCAGGAAAACAGACACCTATGGGCGTATGAGATAGGTATTTTTCAGTGTTGGAGGGTTTACCTGTGGAAGAGGTACTACCACTGACTGGTCTTTATCCCTAGAGGTAAGACATGTGGGAAATCTTTCTGCTTAGCACAGGTGGATAATTCTCTGTTAATCCAAAGATGGACCGGGTTACCCCGGGAAGCGGCTGCTCTCCATGGTCTCAGCTTTAAGAGCCCTGTCCCATTCTTCACACCTCGCGCCACGTCTCCGCCTCATCCTTGGGAATCCTCTCCAGCCACCCACATGCTCCTCATCGCCCTTCCTCTGGAGCATGCAGCCACTTTCTCCTGGGTCCCCTCGCCTCCGTGGGGTCCCTGGAGTCTGTCCACCATCTCGCAGAAATGTGTGGATGAGCACATCTGACCTGTTCACCGAATGTGACTGCCTGCTCCCTTGGTGTCTTCCTGTGGCTTGGAAAGCAGAGCCCAGAGGTATAAATGGCCTAATAATCCTTGTGGCGCCCCAGAGTTGGGACAGCACCCCCACCTCCAGCACCGTCTTGCTTTGTGTACCGCTCACTGCAGTCAGAGCGTCCTCCTATGAGTCCTGGAGAAACGCGCTTCCTGTGCACCTAGCATTCCTCCTTCCTGAATTCCCACTCGCTGCTCCTTCCCCTGGCGAACTCGTGGACGCTAACAGGTGGAAGCTCAGCTTCCCTACCTGAGAACCCAAATACTAAGAATCCGAAAACACGCTCTCAAACTGGCATGCACTTTCTTACTAACGCCCCCGTCATCATGCACATTCTTGCACATTCTTTTCTGTAAGTATTTGATTTCTGTCCGACTAACTGCATAACACCCTTGTTCTGCTGTCACCATTTAACCCTAGTAGAAGTGGAGGCAGAGTGGGTGCCCACATGCGTTTCCTGAATACGCCAATTAATAAGGGTCTTGGAGGTTTCCAAGGTGATCTGGGTGATTACTAAGAGAGACTATCCAGAAAACAAAAGCATACAGGTGGCAGGAGCGTAGCATCAGCAAAGCCCCAGAAATCCCGAGGGTCTGTGCTTTTGTGTGTGTTTGGTTCAGGCTCTTTTTCACTGCAGTCATTTCTTATTACTCAGGGTCTGAAAAACTACTTATTAATGACACTTGCATTCTGCATCATCGTGACCGCCGCGCTGTGCACTGCGTTTTCTAAACTCTGACGACACCCGGCCAGCAGATGGCAGCAGTGCCCGCCAGAGCGAGCCCGGCTGCGATGCGTTCCTTCACACACCTGCAGCCTCTGCACCGCTCCCGCCGTGGGGGAAGGATTTTTCTTCTTCAGAGCAGCGTGAGAATGAAGGAAAACTGAATTTCTGCCAAGTACAAACATGGAGGACTCCTCTGGCGAACTGTCTCTGAAGAAAGTTCGTCCCGGGTAACCTGAAGGTCTACAGTCCTGCACACTGCCACAGGCCGAGCCCAGTGAACGAGGTCCGGCCCGAGGCTCTGGCCGCAGCCTGGGGAGCGGGCACCGGGCTGCCTCACCGTGCAGTCAGACTGCACAGGCAGGTCTCTGCTAGAGGAAGGCATGTCACAGTGGGTAACGACGTTAAAAATGCCGCTTCATTACTTTTTGCCAGAATTTGTTTTTCCAATTAATGTTTCCCAATTCCGTCCTATCCACCCATCTACGCTCAGAGTGCCTTTGATTATCTCCAGATAAAGTCCGTCCTGAGAACACACACGCGTCACGCCATGGGGAGTGTGTGCATATTATAAACAGACACAGGTACACGCACAGGCAAGTACACACACGCCCAAACGGAGGGAAATTCTACAGTTGCTAAGTGAGATTTTTAGTTTATCAGTGATAATTTGAGTGGACCAGTACTGCTTGAATACACATTTGTTTCCTGAAATAGGCTTCTCTAGACAACCTTTTGCTGGCAGTTTTCCAGCTTTCATTTTGTTTTTGTCTTCCTTTTTAACTGGTGGTTTCTAGTAGGCAAAAGAAAGTGGCAGACCTGCTGGTAGTATTTCTCTAAGAAATGTCTTTAAGAAAAGGGAAATGGAACTGGGCTAGTGCACACGGTTTATAGTAAGACCCCTATTCAAGTATGCGTTTCACTGCTTCCCACCTGACTCTGCTGGGGAACCAGCAGCTCCTACGGGCACGACCACTGAGGCGAGCCGGTGTGGACTTAAATCCCACCTGTGCGCCACCTCAGCCGTGTGACTCGGGAAAAAGCCCAGAGCCCTCTGTAGCCGATTCTTCATCAATAAAGTGCATCACGAAGCTGTTGTGTGGGGCCAGCTGGTGGAAGACTGTAGAGTGTGTTCGTGAGTACTTGGCAGGTGTTCTATCATCGTGAGCTATTAGGACGGCGTGCTGTTGGAGATGTAGAAAAATGTCTCTAGATCAGAAAGTGCATTGAAAAACTACTCCCCTCCCCGCTGAAACACTTATTACTATGAATTCCTAATAAATAATACTGGAGTCCCATTAATTATTGAATTATTAATGCAGATACATATTTCACTGTAACTTCCTATAATCCTTTCATTTTAAACTGAAATGTCATTAAATTATGCTGATCAGTGGAATAAACTGACATGGTACAAAAGCTGTTTTTCTTGTTTAAATGTATGTTACAACCATAAGGCCAGCGCTGTGGTGCCGTGAGTTAATTTGCCACTTGAGATGCTGGCATGCCATATCAGAGCACCAGTTCAAATCCCGGCTGCTACATGTCTGATCCAGCTTCCTGCTCACACGCCTAGGAAGGCTGCAGATGATGGCCCAAGTACCTGAGCCCCTACCACACGTGTAGAAGATCAGTCTAGGGTTCTGGCTCCTGGCTTCAGCCAGGCCCAGACCTGGCTGTTGTAGCCATTTGGGTAGCAAACCAGTGGACAGATCTTGATCTCTTTCCCCCGCCATTCTGCCTTTCAAATCACTAAATCTCATATGTATTACATATATATATATATATATATATAAAATTTTATAGGCCGGCGCCGTGGCTCACTAGGCTAATCCTCCGCCTTGCGGCGCCAGCACACCGGGTTCTAGTCCCGGTCGGGGCGCTGGATTCTGTCCCGGTTGCCCCTCTTCCAGGCCAGCTCTCTGCTGTGGCCCGGGAGTGCAGTGGAGGATGGCCCAAGTCCTTGGGCCCTGCACCCCATGGGAGACCAGAAGAAGCACCTGGCTCCTGGCTTTGGATCAGCACAGTGCACCAGCTGCAGCGCACCGGCTGTGGCGGCCATTGGAGGGTGAACCAACGGCAAAGGAAGACCTTTCTCTCTGTCTCTCTCACTGTCCACTTTGCCTGTCAAAAAAAAAAAAAAAGAATTTTATAGATATTTGCATTATTCTTTAGCTTGAGATTGCCAACCTATATGCAAAATTAATTGTGGAGTAAAGCAGTTAAGAAAAATGGGGAGGGGAAGGTCACATTAATAGTGTACAGTTTCTGCTGCCACCCAGTAGCTGCAATGTTGGTAGCAGATGACATTCCAAACTCAAAGCCCCCTTGCGATGTTTCCTCGTTCTTTCCCTGAAAGTTCCTGCATTTTTTGCTTTAACAGTAGGTCTGATCATTTATTTTAAGTTTCTGCTTTCTTAGGAAAACTGCAGAGGGCACCAGCACCCTTCCACGCCCCTCTAGGGAAACTGCCTCTCCTACCTGAGCATGAAACTGTCCAGACGCCTGCTCCAGGAAGTGGACTGGAGTCATGTTCTCTAGCCTGCTGCCTGGCATTAAACCTTATTTTCTCAAAGACCAGCATCACAGAGTGTGTGTGTGTGTGTGTGTGTGTGTGTGTGTGTCTGTGTCTGTGTGTCTGTGTCTCATGACAGTATGACCCCTGCTCCAGGAAGTGGACTGGAGTCATGTTCTATATCTTACTGCCCGACATTAAACCTTTTCTCAAAGACCAGCATCACAGATTGTGTGTGTGTGTGTGTGTGTGTGTGTGTATGTCTCATGACAGTATCAGTAAGATCAGTGTGGAGGAGACAAACCAAACAGCTGATGATTTAGAGGTCAAAAAAAGGACAGGTGGCAAATCTCCCTTGGTTTGCTGAGCCTGCAAAGTTAATGCTGAACTTTCTTGAGGTTTTGAAAGTTTACTTTTTACTGGTTTAGCGTGCCTAATTCTTTCAATATTTCTGCATCTTATCTCATCAAGTGGCACCTAACACTGCCTGCCATCTTGTGGCCAGATAGGGCACTACAATTTTAAGCTACAAGTGGAACCTTTGAGGCCCCATTCAGGCCATGGGAACTTCCTAAGATAGAAACAGCAAATCCTACTATGTTTTAGGACTGATAGTACAGCACTTCTACTGAATTACCTTCTTTACTCTGCTTGCACTGATTTATCTGTATGTACATCTACTATACCTATCTGTATTCATAGTAATAAAATGGAAAACCTTTTGAGTAAAAAGGAAGTTGTAGAGAACCATGCACATAGTATGATACCAGTTAGGTAAAATTTGAGTAACCAAAGTCATATATAGCCTCTATAAATACATATTTCTGTAAAAAATTGAAGATCCACATCAGATTCCTAAGTGATGGCTTTTTTTTTTTTATAAAGACTTATTTATTTATTTGAAAGTCAGAGTTAGAGAAGGAGAGGCAGAGAGAGAGAGAGAAAGAGAAAGAGGTCTTCCATCCACTGGGTCACTCCCCACTTGGCCACAATGTCTAGAGCTGTGCTGATCCAAAGCCAGGAGCCAGGAGCTGCTTCTAGGTCTCGCACGTGGGTTCAGGGGCCCAAGGACTTGGGCCATCTTCCACGGCTTTCTCAGGCCATAGCAGAGAGCTGGATTGGAAGTGGAGCAGCCGGCACTCAAACTGGTGCCCATGTGGGGTGCCAGCACTGCAGGTGGTAGCTTTACCTGCTGCTCCACAGCACCAGCCCCTACATTCACATTACTTTTATTATGGAATGCTGATAATGTTTATTGTATTTTATCATTGTTACTTTCTTACTATGCCTAATTTATAAATGAAACTTCACCATACGTTTGTGTTATAGGAATAAATATTATGTGTACAAGGTTCAGAACTCTGTGCATTGCAGGCATCCTCCGGGGATCTTGGAAGATATCCCCTGATGATATGGGGGGACTACTATAGTTTGAAATAAAAGAATATTCTATCTCGCCCTCCTAGAGAAAGACAAAAGAACAGATCTGCACTGAATTTTATGAAAAAATTTTTGGAGAAAAAAATTAAATGCTTAAAGCCAATCTGTTTAAATGGAATTATTATGGTGAAAAATAATAACTGGGTGTTCTCTCTCTCCTTTGGCTGAGAGCACTCAACTTTCACACTAAATCACTTCCCAGAGGTTGGTAGTCAGGTCTGTTTTCACTGCAGAACCTGAAGATTAATTATTTCTTGCTCTGGTAATAACTTCTCTGACTCAGTTCATGTCAACAAGATACTCTGGAAACAAAACATGTTTTCTGAAACACTTTACATAACACAGCTTTATAGATCTGCCTTTCACATCTAAGTTCTTAGTGTAGGAAATTAACTTCAAGCAATTTTTCCATCCAAAATGGATATCATCTTCCTTTTCTCCAAAATATTTGAACTTTATATTGGCACATATCCATGTGACAGTTAAAATTACTGTGAACCCTTGGAGAGTTCAAGTTGTATTCTTCTTTATATCAGGAACCTAGCCCAGTGCAAGGCACACAAAAGATAAAGAGTGGCTTTTTCGGTTTTGATTTTTTTTTCTGGTGTACTCTGAAGACCATTTAAAATTGTTATCCAGAATGTATTAACCAATGATTCTGTTAAAACAATTCCTTAGTACTGAGTCATAGCCATGAATATTCACTGAATGGTTTCTTTGCATCTGGGGTTAGGCAGTAGGTGAGATATTAGGTTAAGACAGTAAAGCAGTCATAGAACTTAATCAGAAAATCCCAAAGAAATCACATTAAAATCTTAGAGGCCAGAGGAGTAAGCAGCATTTGGAATGCCGGCATGCCATATCCAAGTGCCAGTTCCAGTCCCAGCTATTCCACCTCTGATCCAGCTCCCCACTAATGGATCCTGGGAGGCAGCAGTGATGTAGGCCCCTGCCGTCTACATGGGACATCCAGATGGAGTTCCTACCTCCTGGCTTCAGCCTGGCCCAGCCTGAGATGCTGGGCCTCTGGGTTGAAAACCAGTGGACACAAGCTCCCCGCCGTGCTGTCTCTGTCTGTCTCTCTCCCTTTCCAGCTCTGCCTTCCAAGTAGATGAAAATAAGTAAACATTAAAAAATAATAATCAGTAGCCTTAAAAAATAAATTAATATTACAGAATGCAAGAACCAGCTGCTAAGGGGAAGTACATAAAAGTGAAGCCATAAAATAAAGCTTTAGCTACATTAATCGCTCATGAAACCCAAGAGACATGTAAAGCAACTTCCTATTCTGATGGTATAAGAAAGAAAAGAAGACCACTGATTGCACTGTTTGTAATTTACTGAGTTTTTTTTAATCATGCATGGATACTACATGTTGAAAAAAGTCCTTCAGCATGTTTTGATACTCATACAGCTTTTCTTGTTACTGTTAATATAGTGAATTACACTGACTACTTTTCAAATGTTTATCTTGCATTATTGTGGTAAACAATTTTATCAAGATGTATTATCTTTCACATGTATTCTTTTCGTTTGCTTTGGTATTCATGAAGGTATTCCTCTGTTATATCAGAATAGGACTGGCTTCAAAAGGTCTAAGAATTGATATTATTCCTTAAGTAGGTGATGTATTCCATCAGTGAAGTCATCTGGGGCTAGTTTTTTAAAATAAATATAGGGTTCTCAGGTTATGTATTTCTTCTTGAGTGAGCGTTCCTTGTTGGTGTCTTTCAAAGGAAATTGAAAACAGAAATTTCAAAGGAAATTTCATGTACGTTATACATATTTTTGGCAGAAGGCTCATAATATTTCATTATTATTCATTTAATATTTTTGGTATCTGGAGTGATGTCCACTTTCTGAGTCCTGGTACTGGTCATTTATTTTTTCTGTCTTGTTCCTGAACGCTTTAACTAAAAATTTACTTATTTTCTTGACTTAGTTAATGAATTAGGTTTCCTTGAGGTTCTTCTTTCGTCTTCTATTAACTTACATTCTTCTCTACTGTTTTTGCTGCCTCCTTTGCAACTTACTTGCACCTACTTTTATTCCCTTTCCCTTTCTTCTAGAACTCCAGCTACACATGTATTAGATCGGAATTTTTCCCACGGCTCTCTGATCCTCTTTATTCTTTATTCAGCTTTTTTCTTTCTGGTTCATTTTGTGCAGTATCTCTTGCTCTTTCTCCAGTGTTTCATGTATTGTTAACCCCATTCAATATAGTTTTCATTTTCCCACCAGTGGAAATTTACTAGGATTGCTTTTCTATTTTCAGTGTCTGTCTTAACATCCTTAAGCTGTCTCCTCCTTATCCAACATGTGGAGTGGGATTGTAATTGCTGCTCTCCTGCCGTTGTCTGCTAGTTCTTTAATCTATACCAGTTTCTAAATTGATTTTCCTACTCATTGTTGGTCATAGTTTCTGCTACTTTGTATACCATGGGGGTTTCGTTTCGAAGCTGCATGCTGAGAATTCGGTTACTGGGTGCTACACTTGGTGCCCTTCTGTGATTCAGAGCTGTGTTCTGGGACCCGTGTGGTTACTTCAGTACAGTCTTTTCTTACCCATGTCCCAGCAACCTGCAAATTATGCAGAGCACTTCAATAAAAGACATTTTCTACATAAAATGTGTTCCTTTTATATAAAATTTTTTTAAAAATAAAAGACATCATCGGGGCCGGTGCTGTGGCGCAGCAGGTTAAAGCCCCAGCCTGCGGTGCCGGCATCCCATATGGGCACCAGTTTGTGTCCTGGCTGCTCCTCTTCCAATCCAGCTCTCTGCTATGGCCTGGGAAAGCAGTAGAAGATGGCCCACGTCCTTGGGTCTCTGCACCTGCGTGGGGGACCCGGAAGAGGCTCCAGGCTCCTGGCTTCAGATCAGCTCAGCTCTGGCTATTGCGGTCATTTGGGGAGTGAACCAACAGAATGGAAGATCTCTCTCTCTCTCTGACTCTACCTCTTTCTCTGTAACTTTTTCAAATAAATAAAATAAATCTTTAAAAATAAATAAATAAAAGACATCAGCCAGCGCCATGGCACAGTAGGTTAATCCTCCGCCTGTGGCACCAGCATCCCATATGGGCACCGGTTCTAGTCCCGGCTGCTCCTCTTCCAATCCAGCTCTCTGCTATGGCCTGGGAAGGCAGTAGAAGATGGCACAAGTGCTTGCGCCCTTGCACCCACATGGGAGACCAGGAAGAATTACCTGGTTCCTGCCTTTGGATTGGCGCAGTTCCAGCCTTTGCGGCCGTTTGGGGAGTGAACCAAGGGACGGAAGACCTTTCTCTCTGTCTCTATCACTGTCTGTAACTCTACCTCTCAAATAAATAAATAAAATCTTTTTAAAAAGATAATTAAAAATAAAAGACATCCTCAAAGTATTCCCCAAAGACTCTTTATCTTATTACAGAATTTTTGAACTAAATACATATATTGTTCTTTTTTAAAAAAAAATATTTGAAAGAGTTACACAGAGAAGAAGAGGCAGAGAGAGAGGTCCTCCATCTGCTGGTTCACTCCCCAACTGGCTGCAGCAGCCGAAGCTGCGTCAATCCAAAGCCAGGAGCCAGGAGCTTCTTCTGGGTCTCCCCCACAGGTGCAGGGGCCCAAGAACTTGGGCCATCCTCTGCTGCTTTCCCAGGCCATAGCAGAGAGCTGGATAGGAAGTGGAGCAACCAGGACTCAAACCGGCGCCCATATGGGATGCCGACACTGCACGCGGTGGCTTTACCCGCTACACCATAGCGCCAGCCCACATTGTTTTTGAACATAATCTTAACATTTTTTTCACCAACGATTATGGAATTTCTATCATAATAACATTTTATGTATTTAATGTATTATGTAAATGTTATATATTTAATGTATTATGTATTATGTAAATGTAAATGTATTATGGGGGCTGGTGCTGTGGTACAGCAGATTAATGCCCTGGCTTGAAGCTCAGGCAGCTGTGTGGGAGACCTGGAGGAAGCTCCTGGCTCCTGGCTTCGGATCGGCCCAGCTCTGGCCATTGTGGCCAATTGGGGAGTGAACTATTGGATAGAAAACCACTCGCTCTCTCTCTCTCTCTGCCTCTCTGTGTAACTCTGACTTTCAAATAGATAAATCTTTTTAAAAAAATGTATTATGAATCAATGGACCACTAACTTCATAATCCTATGTCTAGTCCCGTAAGTGACAACTGACTGTATTTCTTTGTCATTTAGGAGCTACAGGCCATTTCAGTTGATAGATACATTACTACACATGGAGAGAAAATATTTTCTTTTATTAGATTGCACACAAATTTCTTAAATGTCTAACTATGTTTACTGATAAGGCATCTTTAACTTCTTCCATTTCTTGACAAATTCTCCTTATGGTTCAAGGGAGAGAATAATACAATGTGTTTCTTTAAGATTGACATTTTTCTCTCATCAAACATAAAACTCTGGACACAGTCGGATGGTATGATTTAGTGGTAGCTCATCTTAATATGCTATTGATTCCTGAAGTCAAAGACAGTCTGGAACTCACTGAACAATCCACGGAGTCACCCTTTGCAAGTTGACCAGGTCTCTGTACCGGGGGACAGCCCTATGACCAAGGCTCCAGCAGCCGTCCCTGCTTTGCTGTGTGTGTCACTCTGCCTCTGCTGGTCGCCCCACCCAGAGCAAGTCCACACTCGAGCCAGCCCCTGTGCGCAGTGCTGCCGCCTTCATGCAGCCCATCTCATCCATTGCATCAAGGTGCCCAGGGTCAGGCTCTCACACGCACAAATGCATTTGGCATCACTTTCTAAGTCCATGTGATTCTGCAAATAAGGAAACTGAGCCTAGTGCATCGCAGAGTTGCCCACCCAGTCACCTAACAGTCCCTGAATGACAGCCATGAGTGAGGCACAGGGACAGATGTGGGGCCCAGAGAGGCCTAGGTGTGGAGAGGCGCTTACATTTCAGTCTGCAAACCCAGCTGGCAGGTCGTCTCCCTGAGCGCGCTCCGCCCGCTTATCCCTCCCGCTCAAAAACCATTTTCAACACCGCTCCATTTCTCCACCTTCCACCAAAACACTTAATGTTTAAATCTATACAAATTTAAATATCTTTTAAAATTTTAATTTAATTAATTAACTTGTTTGAGACGCAGAGAGAGCAAGAGAACTAGCTCTCAACCACCAGCTTAGTCCCCAGATGCTTTTAACGGACAGTGCTGGACCGGGCAAAGCCAGGAGCCTGGAACTCCATCCAGACCTCCCTCCTGAGTAAAATGCATCCAAATACTTGAATCATCACCTGCTACCTCCGAGGATCTGCACAGCACAAAGCTGGAATCAGGAGCCAGAACTGAGTAGCCAACCCGGACAGTCCTATACGGGACGCGTCTGTCTGCAGTTCTAGGACAAGTATCCACCACTCACTCCCGTCCATCCTGAAGCCCTCTGGCCTTACCTCAAAGCTACAGACATTTTGGTCTGAATATATACTTCTCATCCTCTTAAGATTCTTCTCCCATTAATTTAGATAGCCAACACAATAGTTTTACGTAATAGGTACACAAGAAAAACTTACTGCATGAATTAAAATCATATGAATCCTAAAGACTTCATTCTCCTCCGCCTTGCGGCACCGGCACACCGGGTTCTAGTCCCGGTCGGGGCGCCGGATTCTGTCCCGGTTGCCCCTCTTCCAGGCCAGCTCTCTGCTGTGGCCAGGGAGTGCAGTGGAGGATGGCCCAAGTACTTGGGCCCTGCACCCCATGGGAGACCAGGATAAGTACCTGGTCCTGCCATCGGATCAGCGCGGTGCGCCGGCCGCAGTGCACTGGCTGCGGCGGCCATTGGAGGGTGAACCAACGGCAAAAGGAAGACCTTTCTGTCTCTCTCTCTCACTGTCTACTCTGCCTGTCAAAAAAAAAAAAAAAAAAAGACTTCATTCTTTTGATGCTATAAAAATCTCTCATCAATGTTTAGGTTTATATTGAAAGAAGCAATTTGAGAAAAAAGGGACACATTAAACTTCAAGGTAATTTACAATTTCACTGTGCGTCTTCAGCATAGCTCAGATTCAATAAAGACAATGTGTGAAACTTAAATAGTATAATGGGAAACTATTTTAAATCCTCCTTTGTTAGCAGAAAAAAATACTCATAAAAGTAAAGTGTCTAATTTTTGTCATACTCTTCAATTAGAATAGTTTATGATTAGAATAAGAAAAAGTGGTCAACCAAAATTACTTACACATTCCTCCTTTTTTGGTTTCTCTTTGAAGCTCAAGGGGTACGCTAGTAAAAATAGATTCTGTTGGCTTTCATATAAAACTGTCTAGCATGATGTTAAGACTAACCAGTGAAGAAGAACATCCACATGCAGGATTTAATATCCTTCAGATAGGAAAATTTATATTCCAACCAAATTGGAATTGAAAATAATTCATTTCTTTCTTTAAAAATATTTATTAAGAGACAGAGAGAGATGGACAGAGATACAGATGGACTCCCATCTTCCGGTTCTCTACCCAAATGACTGCAGTGGCCAGGGCTGGGATGGGTCCCAGCGGGGAGCTGGAAACTCAATGCAGATCATCCGTATGATCCCTGAGACATGGGCTGCCCGGGCCCCCAGGGTGTGCATTAGCACGAACACAGCTGGGAGCCCTAAGGCATCCTAGCATGGAATGCACGCATCCTGAACAGCATCTGAATTTCTAGGCCAAAATGCTCACCCTGACATAGTTAACTCCTTAAAGCTATAATAAAGTGTACTTCGGACCGGCGCCGCAGCTCACTAGGCTAATCCTCCGCCTGCAGCGCCGGCACCCCGGGTTCTAGTCCCGGTTGGGACGCTGGATTCTGTCCTCTTACAGTCCAGCTCTCTGCTCTGGCCCAGGAGTGCAGTGGAGGATGGCTCAAATGCTTGGGCCCTGCACCTGCGTGGGAGACCAGGAGAAGCACCTGGCTCCCAGCTTCGGATCGGTGCAGCGCCATTTGGGAGGTGAACCAATGGAAGGAAGACCTTTCTCTCTGTCTCTCTCTCTCACTGTCTAACTGCCTGTCAAAAAAATAAATAAATAAAAAGACCTTTAAAAAAAATAAAGTGTGCTTTGTTCTCATAAAGAAAAGAGGGTCCATACTGGAAGGTGTGTCTAATATTTATGCAAATAACCACCAAAATCACTAGGCTGGGCTGCTGGATTAAGACTATATATCTTGACCTTCTGATAATAGTTTATGTTTCTGTGTTCCTAAAAGCTTCTTTCTGACTATAAAAACATAGCATTATATCATGCATAACCTATTTTCTTAAAATGTAAGTAGTCTTAAGAAATCCAAAAAATTATTCTTTTCCATTATTTTTTCATAAATTGTGACACACAAGAAAGCCCAAATCTCAAGTATATAAGGAGTCAGCACACAACACCATGTGCTGTTTATAACCTTGTTCATAGATTGGAAAGTTTGTAAAAACTAGAACCTATACCAGCAGGAGTCATTCAGCCTTAATAATGAGTAGTGTTGTAGTCAGGTGAGATGGTTAAGATGGAATATTCACACAACATGAGGTACCAGTCTCTGTACTTTTAGTTTTTATTAATGGATGTTAGATGATGGTTCATGTAACTCATCTGTATAAGTGCACCTTCAGATTTGA